GTTCACCAGCTGATGACTGTGTTTTCTCATATTCATCAGGTTTTCATAATTTGTACTGAATTTGAACTCTTTCCACGTGACATCAAAGTAGTCCAAAATAGTCCCATAACATCAAGCAGGGAAGATAACATAGCTAGTCTCGACCCCACTTCCATGGCGGTCGTCATCTAGACTTCTTCTGTCCTTTGTTACTGTTCAATTTCCCTCCTTATTCCGCCGGTGTGTCATTAACACTTGTCTCGACAGTTAGCAACATGCTTAAAGATGCACTACCATCCTCTAGTGGACTGAAGTAAGCTTAGGGATGTGCAGCTGGCTCTACTTTATTATTTTCTGTCATTCATGACAACTGATTCTGTTGGAAAATTGGAGCCTGGAGCTCGTTAGTATGGAATTTGAAAGGGTTTCCAGAATCTGTTTAGGCTTTCCTCAGCTACTTTGGCTTCCTACCTCAGTACAGAAATGTGATCATTAGGTTATATCAGTTGACTGTAGGGTACGTGTGCATGGTGGTTGGTCTCTATGGTGATGTATTCATGGTGTTCCCTCATCAGTCCTCATGTCATCTACAGTATGATGGGATTTAAACTTTTTTTTTTTACTTTAAAGCAAGATTGTATGTACTTTAAGAGCCTTCGCTGATGGTATGTTACACTGTTAAATAACACAAAAAAGGAGGGAATAATCCATGTATTCTCTTAGCAGCATTCAGCTCACCATTCCTCTTAAGGTCCATTTACTTTTTCAAACCTGAATCAGTTGGATGCTTTTCCTTTCCCCCTGAAGCCATCTCTATTTGCTAATGTTGAAGAAGAAGGTCTTATCAGGGTACTCAAGCATTTACCCCTCAGAGAGATGTGTGAACCCAGTTTTATCTTTCTTTCACTCTCACCGACTCTTAGACACACATGCTAGCTACAGTTATAGTGTGTATTGATATTCAGTCAATCTCAGTTTAAGGCAGAGAAAAAGGAGAGTTTTGATGAGAGAAAATCGCTGTGTGATTTGCTGGATAACATTCAAACTGGAAAGACTTCAAAACAATATGAAATTTGGGCAGTGCAGTTGATGAAAGGATGAAGGCAGACAAAGTGTGAGATTTGATTTAACCGAAAGAGCATAACTTCAACAGTTATGCTCTTAAACAGTTCAATTTATGGATTAAGTTCGACATACCCAAAAATAACTCTGGAAATGACAAACCAAGCTCTTTGTCTGCAGTTTATCAGCCACTGCATCTAGCGCCACATCTTCTCTAAAAACCAAATTAAATGCAAATATCTATTTTAATGTTAAGTAGCAGGTAGGCACACGCACACATTGCACATTGTAAATCAAGCCTGTAAACTAATCTTGGGCACAGGCTGGCCTCTAAAAACCTGATGTAATTTGACACTCAGTCTCCATAATTAGTTTTATGAATCCTCCTCTGTGTCACTATCAAGGAAATGATTCATGGCATAAGAGTAAAGTTGACTGTACAGCAATGGACTGGAAAAAGACCCCTCCCCCTAATTGACGAGTGACTGTGTGTGCATGGGGTCCCTTAAAAACCCCAAAGGAAGCTCTTCAGTGTTTTATTATTACTTTACGTATTAAATATGTTGAACCAAGCAAGGGTCTTTTTCCCCTGCAGCTTCTCCATTATCCTTAATACAGTTTCACGATTGAGTTAGCAGCATTGGATTTCAGAGCATTAATTTAGGAAAAGGCTTTTTGGGCTCTAAGCAAATTATGTTGCTGACCTAGATGATACTTGGCAGCAATTAGTAGCTTACTGCTGTATTTGGAACCAAGCTAATACTTTTTTCTCCCTGTCTAATATGAGTAAGAAACCAAATGAAGAGATCTTTTGTAGACATCTGGTGGCCTTAAGATCTGACTGTTTGTAAGATAATAATCAAAGCTTGAATTCAGTAACTAAATCAAAGTTTAGGCCTAATTTAAGGTTCTATCACTGTTATTTAAGCCACAGGAAATTTAGAGGATGAGAATTGAGCTTTCTCAATCCTATTGACATGATTAAATATTGAATGATTTTTATTTTTTTTTTGTCTTGATGGGCATCCCAAACATTGTAAAATGTGCATGACCCGAAGTAAAACAGTTGTCATCTTTAATATAACAGTGTTATTCAATGAGTAACTAGTCAGCTAATAGCAGGAATCCTTTAAAAGGGAATTTTCTAACAATGTTGTGAACAATGAAAGCTGAGAAGTTAATTTGCTGCGATGAATGATGATGGCAAATTTATTTTTAATCACAGGCAGTCCTACTTTTTCACCTCTCTTTAGGAGTTTAAATTAGATTTCAGTATTTGAATCACATGTTCAGTTGAAAGTCATGCACATAAACCTGTCCATCCACCTAATCTATGGATACTTTTGAGTTGTGACAACATAACTCAAACTATATTTGACAAACCTGACTACGGACCAAATGGTTCACCACAGATTATCATCATAAATGTGAAGTTTTTGGCTTTATAGTTGGAATTATTTTAACATAATGAACTTGCAGAAATAAAAACAAGCCTAAATACTTAACGAATTAAAAATCAATGCTTTAGAACAAACATATCAATTTCTTACAGTCTGAAATTTAAGACCAAATATTTAATTGAAGTTTATTGGTCTGTGATACAGAAGCTCAGTAAATGTTTAAGTTCCTTTGATGTATCCCAACAATCAATTATCCAATGCCTCTTTTTCCTTAAATTAGTTTTTCATGGTTATTACATCAGCAAATGATTTTAAGAATCTGTCGATCAGAAGTTTGGACGATTCTTTGAGTTAAAGTTCATGTGGCAGTTATTTTCCCCAAGTGTTGGCATGCAGTAGCGTGGGCCTCGTTCATGCCTCTAGGGTCAATACATGCTAGGTTATCTGCCCAGCTGATTGATTCTGCAGTGTGAGTGACTTTTACAATCCATTTGCTCCTTGTAGTTCTGCTTTCAGATGCGTGTGTAGCAGGTATTGAGCCTGTCAGACAAGATATATAACAGAATTTGCCTGTGGTTCAGGATTTGGCTATTTATATGGAATTGTTTGCAGAATCACTTAAATAGTTGTCTCTACTGTCCTGGGTGGAAAATATCAGTAACTGAAAAATTACAAAATCCAGATTAGTTATGATATAGGTTTTGTTTACATCTTGTATTGTAAGGCTTTTCTTTTGCATTTACACCTGAGAAATGTGTGAAATTATGTGATCCGCCGCTTTTCACTGAACTCGTTCTATTAGCAGAACGTTATCAACAAGGTATGTGCAGTCAAACAGATATATTCATATTCCTCATGGGAACTCCACAGATCTCAACGTCACACTTTGACATCACACGTGACACCCGGCAGAGCAGTTCTATAAATAAAACTTGATGCTCCCACAAACAACCCTGTGCTTGTCTGCCAAAGCCATGCTATACACCAAAAATGTTTTTCCCTGTCAGATTTCAATGGCTGGAACCTTCTTTATTATGTGTTAGGTGTATGTCTTTTTATATTGGTGCCAGCTTGTGTATCTCCAGATACTTGGGTATTTGTGTAATCATTGTAGGCTACATGCTGTTCATAGCATTCTTAGACAGCCAGTTTCTCCATTTTGTGACTTAGTTACGCTCTCTGTATGACCTCTTTTTTTCTGGCTAAAAATGGTTTAACTATGAGAAATTATTCAATGTGCCGCCAACTTTACGTTGTTTATCTGTTGGCCACACTCGGTTTCCCTTTTTTTGTGAGCTCCTGTACAACAGTGGTCACAGACTCTTGGCTGATTTATTGTCTCTTTTGGCTCTTTTTTTTCACTGAACTGTTGAGTTTTCCAAGAAGGATTCTTCACCAATGTTGCAAAATAACAACCAGCAAGAGAGCAGACTGTGCATGTTGACTCTGTGTAGTTCTCTCCACACGTTTGTTCTCTAAAATTCCTCTTGAGTGGGAATCTGAGCAGCTTTTCCCTTACACTTTAATTTTTATTTATTTTTATTGACCTTTTCAGTGGTGTTGGCATCGGCAGAGTTCTTCACATGCAGTCTGACAAATACATTCAAATACCTCAATTGCTCTTTTGTTTTACAGTATCTGTTTCCCCATGTAAGAGCCAGTTGTTTTATTTGTCTATTTAATTGAAAATCACAATGTATTTCTTTTTACTGGGCAGTTGACATGAGATCTGAGAAGACTCAAGATAATCCAAACCATAATATTAAGATGTATTCAAGAGCACACAGTTCAGATGTGAATATTTCTGACTGGTTTCTAAATCATAAGCACAACAATAGAGTTGTCTGATAAGATAAGTATCCAGAACTGGTGTGGATTCTACAACCTCTGAATTATAACTCCAATTTTCAGAAATGAAAACAAATTAATGTATTATGTATAATCAGAATGTCTCTTAGGAAAATAAGAACAGATCCTCCTTAGTATTCGTTTCAAGGTGCATTTGCATTTGCCGCTATATCTGCTTCTAAATGAAGCAGTCGTGCATCTGAATCACCCTAGCTTAAACAGAGGAGTTAGTCTTTCAGTAAGTTTCTCTCCTTCATTTCCTCCTTCACCTCTCTCCATCTCACTATCACCAACTGTGTATCCTAGCTTTCTCACCAGCCCAACAAATAAACCATGAAAGGTTAACTGGCAGCTGGCTGTAGCCCATAAGAACACTGGCCTCTTTCTATCCTTGCATGGCAGCAGGTGACAACTTAAAGCCTGCAGCTGAACGCGCATTAAAGAACTATGTGAGTAGAAACTCTGTCCCTGCTTCCTGCAGTTGAGGGACTTGATGTAGCCTGAAGACTCTAAGCGTACTGAAATGAGTTGATTATTTGTGTTTAGATAGAAATGAACATATTTCCACAGTTTTGTGTCTGTTCTTTGCTCCTACCTGAGTATTTTCATATGAATAGCTTCCCGCAGTGTCTTTTTCATACATGCATGCCGCCTTTTTCCTTTTTCAGTTGCAGCTGCAGGTGGATTACATGTATTTCTCTTTCTCCACAGGTGTCTTTCTTCCTGTTCATTGTGTTTGTGGTTTACACCATGCTGCCATTCTCAATGCGGGAAGCCATTATTGCCAGTGGTCTGACCTCCGCCTCTCACACAGTTGTGTTGAGCGTCTGCCTCTCTATGACAGCTGATAACATGGAACCAGTAGTGTGGCAGGTAAGATGATCTAACTTAAAAAAGAAAGGGCAAACACTGAAAATACATGTAACCTATGCCAATTATTGAGGTTTTATTAGTTGGTAGTACAAGACAATGTTTAATGTATTAGTTTAATATAACACTCCCACATTATTATTGTTTATTATTTTTAAACCAGAGTGGAATTGGTTAGTTTTCCAGACATCTTAGTTGTCTCGGCTTGTCCACAAAATGAGTTTTTCTGTTCATTGTAATGGCAGTTAGTAAAGAAATGTGACCTTTTAGAATAAAACTAATCCATCTTTGCAGGTAAAGCATATAAATTGTGTGTTTGTTTTTTTTCCATTGAAAGGTCAACTTCTTGCTAGCAGTATTAATATGACCAGTCTCAGGAAACTACCTCAATAATACTACTAGTGCAATGATAATAATTCAATTAATTGGATTCTTCATTCCATTTCCCTTGGTTTTCATCTGCTTTTTTCAATTATGTTGTCGACTTTAGGTCATGGATAAAAATGAGATGTGAATACTGGAATCTTGACTGCCAGGGACTTTTTGTTAGCTGTCTGTCACCTCAGTTCAGTGTGCCTGTCAGCACAGTTCTATTGGTAGAAGAGTGTCCTTTCTCAAATATCTCATGGAAAAACTGTGTAAATTTAGTGAAAGGGAGTTGGAGGAAAAAATGGAATGTTCAGGAAAATTAATTTTCATTCTAGATGATTATTTTCTACATGATTGGGATACTTTTGGCAATGGAAAATATTAGTATGCATCCCATTCATTTTGTAATTGTTTGTAATTAGAAGGTCATGTATGTTCTCCACTCACACATATATGATATTGACTAAATCAATGAAAAGTGAAGACATTAGGGAAGCTGATGCCATTGGTGCTTCAAGAAGATTACAGTTGGCCTTGTTGCAACTGGGCATTGGTAATATGCCCTCCTTGAATTAATTGTTTTTGTTTAGCATTTCATTTTTGTGACTATTGGCTGTATTCAGTAGTTGTTTCCTTTTTCCTTTTGGTGTAATTTTGCATGATTTATTTATTTATTTATTTTCTATTCTCCGTAATGACTTAGGGTCTGTGTACGTTCTCATTATCTGTTGAAGGGACTTGTTTTATCCCGCAAGTTTATCCATTTACCCACTGGTAAATTTGTTTTCATTGGAAATTACCTTTGTGCAGCGTGTCGAATTAGGAGATGCGTATGTTATAGTGAGAGGAATGAATACTGAATTGGAGTCTTGTGTAGTTTTGGGGGTGTTTCCTTTGCCTATTTGTTCCTGATTTGTCGCTATCAATGATTAGTAATGGACCAAAACGGTTATCAGTTTGTCCCACATCGTTAAATGAAGTCTGATTGAAGTTCTATAAAATGGGAGCACTTCAGAGCCATGCGCCACTGTGTTACAGTGAGCCATGTCTTAAAATCACAGTGGTGGTGTTGTTGCCTCCCTGCTAGTTACAATTTCACTGACATAATGAAACCAAGGAGAAATGTGAAGTTAATTGCAAAAGATAGCTATAGAAAATTGAGAATTGAAGACAGATTTTACAGTATGCATTTCACATATCAAAAACTTTTTCAATACTGACTTTAATTCTTCCTTTTTTGATCACTTTATTTTTATTTTGCCCCAATCGTTTTTCTCATTCAGATTATTTGAAAATGACATGGATTCTCATTTAGTTAATTGTAGCAATTTGAGTGTTACTGTACCTTGATTTTATTTTTAGGCCAGACACTTCAAAGGCAATAATAAAAGAAATATAAAACAAATTGAAGGGCAATTTCTTAATGCATAAGTCACTAAAAATCAAGTACTGAATGATCCCCTTGTTGAAACCGTATTGGATGTTGGGCTAGAAAGACCAACGTGAGACCAAACGAGCTGGAAAGAGAGGATAGTTTTTTTTCTTTTTTTTTTTTAACAAAGTTATTGCTTTAATACCAATTAGACACGAATTTCATAGTATTCTGGCCAGTACAATGTGAAGAAGTGTGAATAAATTGTCAGAAACGATACTGCAAAAACATGCATGCACGAAGACGCACGCAAGAACAATTACGTTCACGATTTCAAGTTCTTGATTTAAATCTATTCAACTTACAGAAATGTTCCTTCAAAATGAACACTTACTTGGTAAGTTGGGGGGGAGCTAAGTGAACATAGAGTTCAAATATAGTAAATATATTGTATCTCCTGTAGTTGTAATGATGCCTTGATTGTGACTAGCACTCAGCTGTTAAATTGATAAAATCTTTTTCTTTGTACGAATTAGAGGGAATAACAAAAGAATATGTCACACTGATCCAGCAGAGATGTGATTGTCAGCTGTTAAATATATTTACTCCCTTGTTTCAACTTGAGTAAACCTAACTAGTGTTCAAGAGCCTTCAAGAACAAGTACATTCACTAAGGAAGTGAAAGCCCACTGTTGGGTCCGCATCCAAATATTTTACTTTTTAGTTGTCCTCACCTTGATGCACATTACTGTTTTTTTTTCCTGACAATTTGATGTATATCTCTGTTTAAAAAATAATGGAAAATAAATTATTCGATTTTCATCTTCAATTGCTGGTTTTATCTGTAATTACAGGAATCTATCTGTACTTCCATTTTTCCCAAACATGTATACCTCCTTTTTTATTATTGAATTGCTGAATCTTTGGACAAGGTAGACCCGTTCATAACCTGGCAAAGTCCAACACTTTTGGATATGCAGTGGTGTGAACCTACTTTGTATTTTAGATTGTAACTCTGAACTGAGCTGATGGTACTAGAAAAGAAGCCGAGTATGAGATACAAAAAAAAGCACGATTCTGATGTTTTGTCTGATGTCAATTGGCGTTAATGTGGAGTGGGCCTAAAGAAGAAAGCATGTGTTAAAGCAACTTCATAACACAACCATAGGTTATCTCTGAAGTTTAGTTTAGTTAACTGAATTCTGACATCCTGAATTGTGTTCAGACGTTTTAACTGTCACATAGTTCTCATTGCTCTTTCCCCCCCTTTTTTCACACAGGACTTCACAGAATTGAATATTTCATTGATAGCCAGCATTCAGATAATAGGATTTGCACAGTGCCAAAAGTCACAAGTGCTCATGTGTGTGCTATAATTTCTTTGATGGGATATGTTACTTCAAGTCAGAAAAACAAGAGTCACCTTCACACTATGCACATGAAAGCAAAATAACTGCAACTTCCCTTAATAAAGCTAAGCTGTGATTTAGATCATTCTGGAATTCACCAGCATGGGTCAAAGCCTTGAGAGCTTGGCTGTAACTGGATAACAGTCAGGTACAGGTGATGACTAAAGTCAGGCTACTCTCATAGGTGAACTTTGTGAGGGTCTCAGGACTGTCTGCACCTTATCTAATGCATGTTAACAGATACAGTAAAAGGTGTTTAGTTTGACAATCTACTAAACAGTTATTTAATATACGATGCAAAGAGCCATTGGTATAGTGTCACTATGAGAAAAATATTGTTACAAGTTGGTAATTGTTGCTCTTTTAGCAACATGTTAGGTAAACTTAAGTGACAGCAAAATTTCGAAGCTGTAACATTTTATAAGAGGTATTCAAACAACATTTTATTAACAGGCTCATAGAGTTGGAATAAATGCGTGGCTGAAAAGAATTGGAAATTAAATGGATGGTGCTTAAATGCAATCTACGGTGAAACTCTCCAATATTGTGTGAAATATGAAAACCTTTTTAGGAGCCTTACAAAGCCTCCAGTCCATGTTTTTGTGGCTGCCTTTCAGTTATTCAGTGTTCTTCTCTGAACTTGGCGCTCTCTGTACTATTCTGTGGAACAGCGTTCCGAATGTTTTCTATGTCTTCCTATTGAAAATAGATGGTCAAGAACAAAGCTAGTCTTGTGAGTATTATCCCTTTCAGCTTAGAAAAAGTAACTCGGGTTTTGTGTCTTTTTTCGGTGTTTTAAAAATGCGAAGAGCAGACATAATAAATACAGTGTTCTACATGGGGGAAAATTTGTCCCAGATACAATGAATAGACATGGACATGAGCCCAGCAAACAAACCACACTCGTGTACTTGGCCTCTTGCTCTGGTGTTTGCTTTTGTCAAATATAAAGACAAGGTATTTGTAATGGTTTAACTGAATATATAACACTCTTTTATTGAATACCTTGTTGATTATGCTGTTTTGTCCTCATGATGAGTTTATTATTTGTTATAAAATGTTACATAGGTATGCAATCCTCTGCTGAGTCACTCTTCCTTTAAAGAAAGAACAGCAGTGAGTCCATGAGACATGTGTTTTGCCAGTTTTGAAAATTTTTATTTTTGGTTTGTGTTTTTGTTATCCATCTTTCTTGAATGGTCCATTACTGTGGAAGCAAACGGGCATGCCCTTGTCAGGTGAGAACATTGTTACCACAGATGGAACACTTTGACAACAAGATTACAACACCTATCCTTAATTATGTATGACCAAGATGGGTTTTGTTTGTTTGATTATCTGCATGTTAAGCAGTGCATAACATAGCATCATTGAGCTTAGTTTTTACAACCCAAAGACTGGAACCCTTTGCTGAACCCTTTAAACCTCTTTTTTACCATTTTGAAGACGGTACTGTATGGAAAAGTTGGAAACAGACCTAGCCAAACTTCGGCCAGCACTTGGTTTAGGTATATAATCTCAAAGGAATGTATTTGTTATGACAGTTTGCTTTCAGATATTGATACCTTTGTCAGTGGCATAACTCTATACCAACCATTTGTGATTGAAATTTAGGGTCTGATTATTGCCCTAAACAAACAAAAGAAAGAACGAAAAATGAGAAGAGGGAAATACTTCTTTATTCTTTTGCCTTTTTTTCTATACGAAGAGGAAAGCAACCTAACTAATGCCAAATCTGAAGCAACTATGTAATGAAAGTTGGGAACTTGAAGTTGAGTTGCTATTGAACTTAATTTTCTTACCATCTTAACCTCTCCACAAAAGTATCTGTGGGGTCTGCCCGATTCCCCTTTTTTTTAACCATATGTAATCTTCCAAATCGTTGTGCACGAATTGTCAGACCTGTTGTCATGTCACACATAAAAACATGGGAGTTGGACAGTGTCTGTTGAAATGATGGCGCTCTCTTTTGTGCTGGCAGAAGGACAGGGGCGTCTCATTGCTGTAGGCTCTCAAGTTCATTTTGTGTCTCAGATGTGTTTGAAAGGTACATATAACACCATTAGGCTATCAGAAACAGAAAAAGTGGAAGAGCGGAAGGTTTGGACATTGCCCACTAAATAGCAGAATCAAACAATGCATCTTTTGGTAATATGTTTCCATGATGGTAAAATTATGGGTAACAATAAAATCAACTTTTGTTTGTTTTGTTTCAGCATTACCCTTGATCTCCAACCTAAGAGACAGCTGTTATCATAGTCAGTGATGAGTACTGATAAAAGAGAAAAGCTGTCTGCACATATACACACTATAGGCTTAGAATCTTATTAAAAGAGTTGTGTTCACTGTTTTCCCTGTTTGGCTCATATTTATGCTGGTATCAGCTGCTGGCTACATGTTGAACTGTAATAGTTCCAGCTGGTGGCACACATTTAGATGCTTCTTCTGTCGTAACATCAGATTCAATCAACAGCCGAGGCCCTTCAGTGGCACTGAAATATGCCTCCCCATCTGCTCAGGTAGATACTTATTACATTCAAACTGGTTGCAAATTAGGACAGTGTCTCCGTAACCCAAGTTAATCAGTTTTTCTCTGTTTTATGTGTGGTAGAAGTGTAATACTAAGTGACTGAACACTTTTGCAAGGTGGAGATGAATCATTGAGACTAGATGTGCACATCCATCCGTCCATAGAGGGAAATCCTCTGACACATGCATCTTACATGTTGGGTTGTTAGAATAAGATGCAAAGAATTAAACACTCACACTCATTCAAAATTACACTCATAAATTGACAGAATTACTATAAGGTTACAAACAATATTTTTACAAGTTGCGTATATCTTAAATACTATTGCTGTTTTTTACTGTGGCTCCAGTATAGTAGAATCCCAGGTATTGGGATGCAGTGGCAGCATACTGTCAGTTTGTACAGAGACCTAGGTGCATTGCAATATTTTTGTCTCTTTTTTTTCTCCAATTCTGCTTGACTCAGTTATGTTTGGATCGTCCATGCACCAAGCTGCTTAGTTTGCGCTTCACAATCTACCACAATAATTGCCATGACATTGTCTAACTGAATGTAGCCTGCTTACTGTGTGAGAATTAGATTTGAACTTGTACCCCAAAGCAGCAGCCAGGAGCTGTTGGCATATTAGGAAAGGGTGTAGCAGAGGCTGCTTTCTTGCACCAGCATCTGTCATCATCCTCGTCACATCAGCATTTACGTCACACTTCAAAATTTGACTGATGTGCATTCCTCTGATACATCTACATTTGTTGTCATTCCATTCTGCCACTTCTGTTTTGGCTCCAAAGATAAATCGCAGAGTAATTCATTCTGCTCTGTGATAAGCACTTCAATCTCACAAAGTCCACCTGGGCTTTTATGATTGTTCACTGCTAGTTGTCAAGTGATGTGCCTTATGGTTCTTTGTTTAGTCATTCTTGAAAGGAGCTGGCTACCTGGCACTTGTGCTCACTTTCCCATATGTTAATTTCCAAAGGAAAAGTTGTGAATTTAAATGTTTAAGTAGAAAGGTTCACAGTCTTATACACAATTGCCCTCACTATTAAGCTTTACAGCTTTGGCCAATTAGACAAGATTAATGGGCATCTGGCTATTAGGATTGGAAAACTGTAGCGACTGAATTTTGTCGGGAAAAACAAAATGGCAAAAAGAAAAAGAAAAGTTGATGCATATGTTAAGTCAGTTATGCACACAAAAGTCAAAGCACAGAGAATTTTTAAGCAAATGTATTTTATCTCTGTTTTAAAGTCCAGTGGGAAAACTTGAGTCTGTGCAGATCAAGTATGACAACAATTTAAAAACACGTGCTTGGCTGTCAGTTAGAAAGTGAGCGAGGCATCCGTTAATTCAAACTGGAATAATAACAATTGATGATTACCTATGCACAACAACACAACCCATCTACTTTCTCTGAAATAACTGTTTTACAAATGTATTTCCAAGAAAGTCAAAGAGAATATGCAGATTGAAGAGCACACATCAGGTGATTCAACTGAAAAGATTTTGCTTTGTTTTTATGAAATAAATGTAAATTGTCCTCTAACCGTCTGATATGGATATAAAGTTACCCAGTGGAATTAGAATAACAACATTACTGTTTCAATCATGGATGAACATAGGTAAACAAAAAACAACTTTACTTACTCAATGTAATTGACCAGATATTAAATTTGATTATTGTGGGGAACTATGGTCAGATAGTAAAGTGTATGTTGAAAGAAAATGTATATTTCCTCAGCTGGAGGATGGAATTAATTAGGTGTCAAATAGCACTGATCAAGAGGTTTTTACTAGATGGGGGTGTAATTAAGAGGGAAGGAGCCACGCAAATTGTTACCGTATAGGAAGAAAAGAGAATGCATTGAGGGGTCTAACTCCCCTTGAGGTTCTTTAATATGCAAGTATGAGTTTAGAAGTGATTGGAATGGAAGATGGATGAATAAATTTGACTCCTTGGTTTCTAAATGTAAAATAAAGTAAGTGATGGAGTGGTAAATTTCCATCCGTCTTAACTTCTCTTAAACGCGGTGCTACATTTTAAAGTCAGTGTACAAACTGCCACAGTCTTCAGACTCAAGGCATCCTCAGCTTGTAGTGAAACAAAGGCATGAAACAAAGGAAACCCTGGTGTATCGAAGGACAGGTGGAGCATTACACTGCTGAGTGATCACAAAAACAACTTGTGCATGTTTCTGGAGCTCGTCTGGAATGACTCAATTCTTCCAGAAATATTTTCCCAGGTGGTATCCTAACTATGGTGGTTAAAGTCAAACTTGTTGGTCCACAAATAATGTGTTATCATGATGGATCACTTGTTTTTCCTTTGTTTCGACTATAGAGAACAATTGTAGAAGTAAATTGCTGTTATTTCTAAGATTTTGTTGTTTTAATAAGATAATGAGAGCAGAGGTAACACCATACAGTTTTCTAATAGTTTTTCTGACAATCCTTTGTCATTTTCTGTATTGCAGATATCACCATATTGTGTTAATATATAGTGTTAAACGGTGGAATAATTTGTGATTCCATTACTTGTGATGTACTGTATGTATGTATACTGTAGTGAGGGGCCTTTGTTGATATCTGACAGACAACTGTTTATTATCAGTGATTGTTAGTCAAAGTAAATAAATAAATACATTGAAAATAGATGTAACTGAATAATACCTATACATAAATAGAATATTTGCCTTGTTATAAGGCATTGTATCTGATGAAGAGCAGTGTGCATTTTTTTGAGGATTGTGCATTTCTAATAATAAAAAGAAAGGGAAATAAAAAAAAATTCAGTTGATAACTGAATAACATGTGGTGTTTATCCCTTTATCTCTACAGATTTTGGCAAATGTTATCATTTTCATGTGTGGCAACATGGCTGGGGCGTACCACAAGCATCTAATGGAGCTGGCACTGAAGCAGACTTACCAGGACACCTGCAACTGCATCAAGTCCCCAATCAAACTGGAGTTTGAGAAGAGACAGCAGGTATGGTGATGGATAACTCCTGATTACTAGTGAAACAGAGACAGGAGCCAAGAATATGTTAGAGTGCTGGTGGTGATAGGTTTGATGTTTTGTAATTATTAATGTTTAACTGATTAAACTTTTATGTTTGGAACATGTACTCTAGATATTTGCAGCTGAACTGAAACGCAGTGTACTAGGTATTAGATTAGATTTTTTTCTATTATTTTATCTTGCAATATTCTACTCTACCTGACTGTTGGTTCAAGGTGAAAAAGGTTTTTATTTTTTTTATCAAACACCTCACACCGCTGCATTGTGCTTGCATTTCACCCTGCAAACATTAATTATTGATAGACTTTTACTAATTGCTGTCTCTGAAATGTAAACCAGCCAGCTCTGCACATGGGAAATCCACAGGATTAGCATGACAGTGTTTTGTTCAACATGACAACTAACAAAGGACTGGGTTTTGACATAGCCTTTAGAAATTCCACTTGGCCATTCTTCTCATCATCAGTGTCTGTGGCTTTGAGCTTTCTGTCCTTGCCGAGTGTAATACAGGAATGATAGAATACAAAAAGGCAGGTCACTGCAAATTTGATGCAGCTGCTTTTATGCAACACAGGTTCCTGTAAAATATTGATACCAAGAAGATGTTTATGAATGTTTAGTTATTGGCAAGTGAATGTGGAAGCTGTTTTCTTTTTGCAGAAATTTTGGAATTATTTAGTTACATTTCTATGAATCCAGCCCCATCTTGGGGTGGAAATGGCTTTTCCTCTGGTGAGTTGATAGTTTTGTTTGAACTGCCGTGACTGAAGCTTAAAACGCTTTGGGTGAAACGTTTCTCAGGAGCCCTGGAGTGCTGGCTGCAGCTTGTGACAGATGGCAGTAACTGTGTAGAGACACTTTTTTGTTCAAGTGGCTCAATGGACTAATGATATATGTTTTCTACATGATTTTAACCAAAGTGCACCGCAATTTAGGAAGCGTGTGCATTTTGGGTTTGAGGAGTGTTGTGTGTATCTTTAACATAAACCCAAATCTTTGGCACAATGTTGGAAGCACCGAGCATTGTTGACTACTGAAACCTGAAGCGTGTTCAGTTATTTAGGTCATCACTGCCTCAGTTGGGCAATAGGCCTCTAAGAATGTGGTCCATATTTTTTAAAAAGTGACTGGTTTTTCTCTCAATTTTTCTACTTTTTTACCTGTAATATTAATAAAGTTGATTGGCATAACTCAGTAATAATCACCATAATTAACATTTGTGGCCATCCCTGTGCTACATCTAAGCTTTTTTCTTGGTCTTCATTCAGGAGCGTCTGCTGTTGTCTCTGCTGCCAGCTCACATCGCCCGTGTGATGAAAGCTGAGATCATTCAGAGGCTCAAAGGACCAAATTTTGGACAGATTGAGAACACAAACAATTTTCACAACCTCTATGTTCAAAGACACACTAATGTCAGGCATGTATTACATACTCTGATAGTTCAAATCTATGTGTATAGATATTTTGAAACGGTGTTTACCTATCTATATCTAATTAACAGAATAGTTGTATTGATTTCATAATCATTTCCATCTCCAGTATACTTTATGCTGATATAGTTGGATTCACACGGCTGGCCAGTGACTGCTCACCAGGAGAACTGGTCCACATGCTGAATGAGCTGTTTGGAAAATTTGATCAAATTGCAAAGGTACAAGATTTAGCCATGTTCTTTTGTTTGTTTGTTTTGTTACATGGTGCTGATGATGTTTGTCTTTTTTGGATTTAGATGGCAAACCTTATAGATTACAGTAATTTCAAACTAAACTGTATCCTTCTCAGTATCATATTTCTCAAAGGGTCAATTTCCGCCTACATTCATACAGATTCCCTCCAGACATACAAATGCACAGGGAAATACATTCAAAGTATCTGATGCAGGCTTTAACTTTTCACTTACCGTAATACTTTCTAATACATTTAGAATACTTACTCAGATAAGGTGTGGCAACCAAATTAGTTATGATTTCAAATCAAATAAACCATCAAACTGATCCACTCGCTTAGAATTTATAATGAAGTATGGGACTGAAGTATTATCCTGCATATGTGTCGACCTCTCAAAGTCATAGACTAGAAGCTTATTTAAACGGTGATACAAAACAAAAATATTTAATTAAAAGTTGATCTATCAGTGTACCTTCATGTGACCCTTATCATGCCATGGTTTTCCTTTTTTTTCCCTTTTTTTGTATGCAGGAAAATGAATGTATGCGAATCAAAATCTTGGGTGACTGTTACTACTGTGTTTCCGGGCTGCCAGAGTCATTGCCAAACCATGCCAAAAACTGTGTAAAAATGGGACTTGACATGTGTGAGGCAATCAAGTAAGTGGGTATTATGAAACAGGGCTCCTACAGAATGCTGAAATCATTTCTCACATGTTTGCTTTGATATTTGTGACTACCATTCCACCTCTGTAATATGTTTGCTAAGTTAATTCTGAGTATCAGTGATGTTAGGTTTGAATCCATGATCAGATTAGTGAAATGTTGGGATCAAAATTCAAATGGTGATCAGAATATTTAGTAGCACATTTAGTTGAACCTGAAAGTATTATGGTCTAAAATAAATGTATGGTTTTGCAAAGCATTCATTTTTCTTTTTTGTTTGTTGTTTATTACCCTACAACGAGAGGTTATAATATTGATGGATAATATGAAAGATGATTTATTCAAACATATTTACACTATTAAAAATGCTTGACAGGAAGGTGCGAGATGCCACAGGGGTAGACATCAACATGCGTGTCGGTGTGCATTCTGGGAACGTCCTGTGCGGTGTTATAGGACTTCAGAAATGGCAGTATGATGTTTGGTCACATGATGTCACATTGGCCAATCATATGGAAGCAGGAGGAGTGCCAGGGTGAGTGAAATAGAAATAAAACACAAGCCCTTGCATCTGTGACGGTCTTTTCTCCTTGATAAAGAACACCTTAAATCATACATTCATACAATCATACATTCATCGAGCCACATGAATTTAAAGTCGTATGAACTTTCCAGGCGGGTCCACATCACCTCGGTGACACTGGAGCACCTGAATGGTGCTTATAAGGTGGAAGATGGGGATGGACAAGAAAGAGATTCTTATTTAAAGGAACATGGTGTCATCACTTACCTGGTTATCAACCCAAAGGTTCTATACAATTATTTGTCTTAAGACAATAGTGGACATTGAATAAAAAGTTTGCAGTACAAAATGGCACTGTTTTCCATCCTTTGTTTAGGTAGACCGCCAGAGCCCTCAGCATCCTTACAGACCGAGGCACACGCTTGATGGCTCAAAGATGAGAGCCTCAGTTAGGATGACCCGCTACCTGGAGTCATGGGGAGCAGCCAAGCCCTTTGCCAACTTGCACCACAGAGACAGCATGACTAATGACAATGGGAAGATCAGCACTGCTGTGAGTATTTATTTTCTAGTCGCGTGGAATCATTTATGTGATAAGAGGCTAATCCATCCCTTCCTTCTTTCTAGGATGTGCCAGTGGGGCAATATCAATTCCAGAGAAGATCAGAAAGGCAAGCTGCCCACTTTTCTGGTCCAGTAAAATGTTCCTAAGCAGGATTATTTTCATCCTTTTACTCTATGTTGACATGCAATAAGATGCTTAAGAAAATCAAATGTTTGCTTGAGACCTCAGTATCTGTGACTAATTATGTGTCATTATGTATAGTTATTATATAGAAACCTTTTGTAACTCATTATAGGACAAAGTCTCAAAAGAAACGGTTTGAAGAGGAACTGAACCAGAGAATGATCCGGACATTTGATGGGATAAATTCACAAAAGTAACCTTCACCTCACAAATTTTACTCCTTTAAACACACACATACACGTGTGTGTGTATATATATATATATATATATGTGTGTGTGTGTGTGTGTGTATGTGTATATATATATATATAAATATACATACAATTATTTTTATTCTTTTGATGCTGAAACGGTATCCTTGTGCTTTCAGGCAGTGGCTTAAGTCTGAGGACATCCAAAGAATATCGCTGTTTTTTCACAATCGATCATTGGAAAAAGAGGTACAAAGCTTTTCCTCTAAACTTGGGTCATTCACCCCTTTGATTAACAGTGTTGAATATATCCCTTTTCAGTATATTAGTCATTTCTGTTGTTTTGCCCACAGTTGACATTGCATGAAGTTGTGTGAAGTATAGAGAGGTGTGTGTGGTGTCTGAGTGCAGCTTTGAAAAGCATTTGAAATGGCTTAAATATCCATTCAAACACCTGTTAATGATGTCACAATTTGTCTTTGTCTTTTTAGTACAGAGCTACAACCTTGCCAGCCTTTAAATACTATGTAACCTGTGCCTGTTTGATCTTCTTCTGCATTTTTATTGTGCAGATTCTGGTTCTGCCAAAGTAGGTGACCTTCATGTTAATGCATACAAATATTCTGTAGTATATCATTATTTTAATCACTTCTAAGATTTTTGTTTTTTTGCAAATGGTTTCATGGGCTTTATATCTGTATGTCTTCTGTAGGACAGCCGTCTTGGGGATTTCATTTGGAATGGCCTTTCTTATCCTGTCCTTAATTCTCTTCATATGTTTCATTGGACACTTTATGGTAAGTAGTCTTTGTGGTCATTGATGGAAATCAGCCTACATTGTTTGAGTTGTACTTTGTTTTTAGCTTACATTCATCAAATTAATTACTAATAAAGTTCCACTTTTATCAATTAACGGCCCATAAAATTACCATTGTGTTAAATGTGGCATGCAGGTGTGACTTTGACTCAGAACGAAGTCTTTAAAGGTTTTGCACATTTTTGTTTCTTTTAGAATGCAGTTTAGTGGTTTCCTGCCAACACAAATGACAGATTACAGTATATCTTCATCTTTGTCCAAGAATGTTTCTTTTTTTCTCAGGTGATTTCATAGTTTAGTTTACACATTTTTTTCACATTGAGTACAATCTAATATAATTTTGTAAAATCGTCATTATTTTGTCCTTTAACCTATTAAATTTCATAAATATACAGTATTTTGAACATAAATATTGCAACAGACATGGGTTACAGTGTACAGAAGAGCCATAAATTATCTTAAAAAAAAACGCACAAGCTTACAGTCATTTTTCACCTGACTGATGGAAAGAACTATGAGATATCCAGGAGCTTTAGATTAGTATTGACTTTCCTTTTGTTTGAGTTAGAGATGTGATGCCTCACTGTGACCGTGTCTCCCTAACATCTTATTAGAATAGTGTTAAAAATAACATTTATTAAATGGCCTTTTTGGAGATAAATGTGTCATGTCTGTAGCTATTTCTTCTGTATCATCTTAGATTCAGGAATTCAAATTTTGCACATGGGGTGCTTTTCATTATGTTAACCTTTGCGTTCTTAAATCATCTTTACTCCTGTGACCTGGAAAATCTTCTTACTCTGCTGCTGTGGAGGGTTTTTTTAACTATTGAAATGAATAAAAGGAGACACGAAGGCAGGACAGAGTACTTCTGGGCTAGCTTAAAGCTAGAAACACAGGGGTGTACAGTGCAGATGTATTCATAACATTTCTGTCAAAGGCTACACTTCTTCAAGTGAAGCTAAAGATGACGTAGAATTGAGGATTCCTGATAGCTTCATGTCCTGTCCTCTATTTATTTTTCTTTCTCTAATATCCTCACTGAGGGATTCATCAGTCAAATAAGAGATTAATTTGAGGAAGAGTTCATCGTCCCCAAGCGTGGTCTTTTATTAACAATCAGAAAAAGTGAATGTCCAAAATGGAAAATAAATTACTCTATGACAATAAAGAAAAGAGACAAACTCTTTATTTGAAGAGTCTATTCATTCTAAAGTGGGTATAGATAGAAAACTTCTCATAGATTTCAGACGCTACTTGAATGTAGTCTTGAACTTTATAAACCTCAGTGAAATCATAGATCACTTCGTGTCGACTTTTTAATGCACCACATTTTCCTAATTCTAAATTAAAAATACTTTTAAAAAGTCACTGCAAACAGCAGGTCTAATGTAAGAAACACTCAGCTGGAATTATGTTGATATTTTAGACAGAACAAAAAGTAAAATAATTGATAAATGAAGCAGATTTGTTTGTCTTTCTTATTTATCTTGACTGTTTCATGGGACAGAATAAGTAAAAATATTTTCTTGGTTACTGCTGCATATTTTTGTGTTGTATTTGTACAACATATCATGGAGAACTCTAGATTTCCAGGTAAAGATTGAGACGACTACCTCACAGAGTGAAATAAATGTTACCAGAAAGCTCTGAAATCCAACAAAAACGAAAAGATTAAAAGATTCTGTATCTTTGAGTGGCACCGGTTTTGAAGAAACAGAATGTCAACTGCTGCAGCTCTGCAAGACTCCATGTCTGTCCATGAGATGAAATCATGATTATAATCATGTGACAGTCATCTAACAAATTACTTCAATGTGACGATAGCTCTCTGTATCAAAATTAGTATATCAGTGCAACAGTGTAGTGTTCAAGTCCAAAAGGTTATGAAATGGCCCATCTTGTTGGAACAAAAGATTCCCACAAGCCCGGCATCTCCAATTTTCAATCTAGTACACAATGCAGAGTGCCACCTTCTGTACATTTCAATGTGATGTGTGCACCCGTGAGCTATTTTTAATGTCACATCCTTTCAGTCCTTGTGGTGCTCGGATATTGCTTTGGGACAATCAAATATATTATTTGGGATTTCACTGTCAGTCGTTTCCAGTGAAATACACTAAACTGAAGAAAATGCTGGAAGATAGAAAATCAATTTGCTCTAAATTACCTTGCAAACATTTGCCAAAGCTCAGAAATATGACTTATTTCAATAAAAGCTTAGCAATGGACAATTTATGGACTTATTAGAATGACAATGGCCAGGATGTGCTGCCCAGACTATAACATTACTGTGAAATGAGGATCACTATGTGTGCTGCCTCCAGGAAGTAGGAGGATTAGTGTCCTCGCCTTTTATGTGTTTGATAAGAAAGTCGCATAGAAAATTAAGTGTTGCACTTAATTTTTGAGAAGTTTCTATTTGATTATAAAATGTCCCTCTCTCCATACGATGTGGGACATTTTTGTTTGAAGTTTATAAGGGAAAAGCTGCTTTTGTACAATCTGTGGCTGTTGAGCAAAACGCAATTAAGAATAATTGCTCTTTCCTATCAAAATAAATGAGTTTCTGCACAATTTTATTCAATGCATGCTATTTTTGTTTTGAAACCTGACGTGCCCTCTACACACACATTCAGGTACACTCATCATGTGTTGCCTCCGGTCTTCAAGTTGGGCAGCTCATGCATGCTGTTTTCTTGGATCCCTCTTCCATGTGATGCGTCAGAGACCGTTACTCTCCCAAATCCTGTTTACTACCCAGATTCTTTTGTCGTTGTATTAATGTGTTGTTTTGTGTGCCTTTGTAGCCCTGCAGTAAAAGTGCATCTGCTTCTTGGATGTGGCTGATGAGGTCATCAGTTATTATAGCTAACAAGCCGTGGCCTCGCATCACTCTCACCATGACAACCACAGCTCTAATACTCATAATGGCAGTCTTCAACATGGTAAGCTTTTATGTGCAGGTGCCAAAGTAAGAGTGGGGTGAAAACCAGTGGACTTCAGTTGGAATAAAATGCCAAATTCCTTCAAATCACACTCCACACCTTCTTCTTTGTTGTCATAAGAATTTTAAGGTATACTTGTTCTCACCCTAGATACAAAGGAATAAGTTGATAGTAGTAATGTCAAATTGGTATGAAACATGCATGTTATTTTTTTAATCAAGAAAAAGAAGTAAACTAATCCTGTTATCTTACTGAATTTATTTTATTTAAAGATAAATCTTTACTGACTGTAAAAGATATGCATTGCCACAGTTTTAGATAGATATCAGTATTTCTGGGTGGTGGCGTGGATTAGTGGATTTGATTTCTTTTGTTTACTAAGCCTCAAGCATATTGAATATTTCACCGAATATTAAACTACAGAAATTATGGTTATGGTATTTTCTTTGGCACTCTTGGTAATAAATAGTGTGGTTTCCCTGAAGTGCCAAAATCATTTGCATTTGCTTTGAAGGAAATGGTATAAAACAATTTTATTGTAGTTTAGCTCATCGCCATTATTTCTCTGATTTATCCGATTGAGGCTTATTTTTGTAGGGTAAAAACAAATACATAAAGGCTCTAGTAAAAGTGGAACAGTAGCCCGGGGCTTGAAAGAAAGCTGTGTGACAAAGCGTGGTGTCAGGACCCTGGTTTAGACCTTCACACAAATCGATTTCAGAGATTATAATCGTGTTGTGTGTCTGACGTGGGTCAGTTGCTCAGGGCGGAAGAACCAAATTAACTTGGCTTTGCTCAGTGGGGCAGCCAATCCTCCTCCTATCCTATCCTATCCTATCCTGAAGGTTCACCTTAATAGACATTATTGAATGGTTGTCACTATTGGCCTCTGATCTAACAAGATTCTATTTTCCTCCTGCAAGTCTAATGCAGTCTGGTTCATCTTCTCACACACTGATGTGCAAAGCAAACAGGGAATTTGTGCTACTGATTTGTGAGTGGTTTGTTTTCTGTGCAGATCTATAAATGGGATGCTTTCTTCTTTTTTGTCTTTTGCATTCTAAAATAGAGCAATCCGAGAATAACTTTACAATTTGCTTTTCTTGTAGTTCTTTTTGGAAGACAATGATTTTCTCTCGGTTCCTATTTACAATTCCTCCAATGAAACACTCTTTTACTCTAACGGCCAGCAAATCACCTTCCCTGGCAATGACAATTTCTACCTTCCTGTAAGTATAGACCAATGCTATAATTGTCTGCATTCTTCATAAATTAATTTTATTCCTGTTTTCTTTGTTTTTGTAATGATTGAATGAATCTCCCACTCCATCTGTGGACCCCTTTTCCTGTCCAGTATTTAATTTACAGTTGCATCCTGGGCCTGATATCCTGCTCAGTATTCCTGAGGATAAACTATGAGCTGAAGATGATCATTATGTTGACTGCAGTGGTGGTCTACAACATCATTATTCTGCAAACCCATGCTTCCTTGCTAGACGAATACAGCAGATTTCTGTACAAGACGGAGAGCCTTGACAGGTTTGTGAAGAGAATCTGTTGTGAGCACTTGAACAGTTTATTTGTATCTTCATAGTTGGGTAGATACATCATCATTTTCTTGATAGATTTCTTTTATGGTTTGTTTTTATTTCTGATAACCATATTGATCACTGTTGAGCTTAAACAAGAGTATTTAAAGAAAGAATTAAAGTTAGAGTACCAGTTTTCTTGATCTAAACACTGAGCACTTAATGAGAATCTGCAACATGCTCAGCTTATAATGAATAAAACCAGTTACTTTGAGACAGTATGAGAGGAGCCTTGCCAGTGGAAATGTTACACATACAGAGGATCCAAGGAGTATGTTTATATCAGTAAACTTTTATCCTGAGACAACTACAAATTGATTAAGATACTTTCCCATACCAGTCTCCTATAGATGTTTAGTATCTTCTTATTCAATGGTGTAGAACTGCCTGCATGTTCAGCATCCTCGCTGGAGTTGAGCAAAGCAGGCATCCCTGACGTTAAGGCAGTTCCTAATGAGATGCTTGATGCAGCCTTTTTTTGCCTATATGCCTATACATGTGAAAACGAGACATAGTGCAGGTTCCCTAAGAGTAACAGCAGACACTGTATGTGTTTATCTGACATAATCAATAAGTCTAACTCAGAATTACCCAACTCACTTTAGTTGCTCTCACATTTGATTTATATAAAAAACTATTATTGAGATGACAAATGGTGATAGACAAATCTTTCAGCTTCACCAAACATAAAAAAAATAATTGAAGCAGTCCTTGGAGATTAGGACATCATACATTGGGATTTCACAGGATGTTGTGATCTGTGATGCATGGCGGAGGGTTGAGCTGAGCTGTTCTGATGCCTGCCCACAGTCACTTCTCTGCCTGTGCCACTGGTACTGTGCAGAGAATTGATTAGATGTACCAGGCGAGTTCTGGACTGGCAGGCTGTTTTCTTGGTTTTCTGCTGAGCTCTGCCCTAGATAAGAGGCAGAGACCATTAATATGCAAAATGTTCTGCTTAAATTAAGATGCAGTAGTCCTGCATGAATCTCCTCCTACAGACAACTTCGTTAGGGAAGCGCTGTTACACAACTATGAAAAAATGGCTTCATGATTATAAGCGGTGATTTTTACATTGTTTTTCTTGATGTCAGCTCTTAGAAAATACACACTATTCAGGACTTTGAGTGTGGTAATGTGTTTGTATGAACAACTGCAGCATGATAAACACACACACTCAGCATCAGCAGTATGGTTAGTTACCTAATGGCCCCCTGCAGAGGAGTCCCACTTAAAGGTTAAGATGGAGAAGTGCAGCTTTACCTCTGTTTCTGTACTAAATCTTTATGGATCGTGAGCACTTTTTTTTTTATTACTCCTTGAGAAATGTTGTAGTAAAAGCACCATGACAGGAAAAAATCAACCGCTTGAATGCAGATGGTAAACAAGCTCTTGTCACAACAAAGCAGAAGCGACACTCTACTCAGAGTGACAGCTTGCAATAAAACGGTCTGGTAACCATCCATGCTCCGTGTGTCAGTGCTCATCGTGATCTGAATTATTCAGCAATATTTTTATGTCAACTTTTTCATAATTCTTTCTATCTGTCTGCTTTGTCCATCCTTGGGTCTGTGCCCATCTTCATCCTTATCTGACAAATACGCTGTCCTTTTGTTTTTTTTAATCTATGTGCCCCTCAAGACCAGGAGTTCTCAAAAACCTAAAATCTATGGGCTCTGTCTCCCTCTTTATCTTCTTCATCACTCTGCTTGTGCTAGCCAGACAGGTAAGTCTTGACTGCAATGGTCTGAATGAATTTATCTGCCGTCTTCTGCCACACATTTCACCCACACAGCGTATAAACAGTAGACTTCAGCTTGTCATCATACCACTGCCATTTACACAGCACATTTTCTTTCATGCACGTTTTTTTTTTAGTCTTTTGTACCTATTTTTCCATATTTAGATTCAAGTTTTCTCCCATCTTTGTTCAGTTTTTAAAAGGCCCTTTTCCGTTGAGATACTGTCCTTTTCCGCACTTTGGTATGGAATATTTTTGTCTCCTTAACTGCTGGTTGTGTCAAAAGTAGCACTACAAGTATTTCACATGGACTGGGTCAGAATATTGGCATGTTTGAGCAGCTTCTGACGTTATCTAGTCCATACAAAGACCTATTAATCTTCAGAATGAACTACAATAAGCAGGAACATAGGTATTTTTTTTTATAAATTCTTAAGCTAATTGTAACTTACAGAAGATAAGTCATTATGAATGTATTGCAAAGATAATCATATAATCATATGAATACTTTTGTCCTTTTACACAAAATTAATTTGGCCTCTTCTTTTCTCTGGTTATTAAAAAAGTAATTATATTTCCAATGTCCCATCACTTACTCTGCTTCGTGTTATTTCTGTCATCCTCCAATCATGTTACTCCTCTTTTTGTAGCACCACAGTTGTCTGTCTATGGCACACACAGCCTGTATGGCTCACAGGAGCTCTTGGCTTTGAACTCTGAGCTTTGAGTGCTTATGTTTTGGATGAATATCGAATGTCACATTCTCAATTGTACGCACATCATTCCCAGCAGAGAATGTCACTGCCTGTCAGTCCTTCAGTCTTTCTCCCTTTGTCAACATGAACATTTAGTAGTTTGTTTCTTCCAGCCGACAGACGTGTAGCTGCTTTGTCTCTGTGTTGCATATTCCCCATCTTCTGCACCATGCTAGTAGCTGATTTATTCATTTATTTTTCTCTCTGTGACTTTGTAGAAGTAAGCTGAACAGCTGTACCTTCGGTCTCTTCACCTCTGTGTCCTCTTGTAACAGAATGAATATTACTGTAGGTTAGACTTCCTTTGGAAGAACAAGTTCAAGAAGGAGTGTGAGGAGATTGAAACCATGGAGAACCTCAACCGGGTTTTGCTGGAGAACGTCCTGCCTGCACACGTTGCCGAACACTTCTTGGCACGTAACTGGAAAAATGAGGTTTGTGCTTGTTGTGTCTTCAGTACGACTGGCCATCTCCATGACCTGACATTCAGAGACACACTTGAAGAGAATACATTAGGTTATCTGTATTACTCATCCACGCTATCAATCACTCTCAGTGCTGTCTTAGTCCCACGTTTGTTTGTTTTTTACTGTAAGCTGTGAAAAGTGACATGTTGGATCCATGAGGAGGTATGAGTAATGGGTTAGCCCTGAGAGGTGACATCAGCTAAATAAAGACACCACTACTGTTGCAGAGCTTTGACTGATGAATCGGAAAACAAAAACAATTCAAGGAACAGAACTTAATGGTTTCATTTGGTTTACATAATATTTGTCTGTCTGGTTTATATCAGACATGCTTTTCTTTTGCCTGTGTTGTTCGGCGTTATACATGTGCACAGCAAACTTTCATTATCTGACCCATTTTCATGCATCTTCAAAGCCTGCAGTTCATTCGTTTTACTAAAATGTTTAGCTCTTATATATGCTAACGTCTGTATTTTGTCTTCTTCTGCTTTGTGTCATGCAGGATCTTTATCACCAGTCCTATGACGTAGTTTGTGTCATGTTTGCCTCTATCCCAGACTTTAAAGAATTCTACACTGAATCTGATGTCAACAAGGAGGGACTAGAGTGCCTCAGGCTACTCAATGAAATCATTGCTGACTTTGACGAGGTGAAAAGCCTTTCAAAGTTCAAAAGTGCTCTTCTTATAGTATCTAAACATATTTCCTTCAATAAGGACCAATGTCTAATTTTCTTCATCTTTTGATTGCATCACACCTGTATTCTCTGTTTAGTTGCTTTCCAAACCTAAATTCAGTGGTGTGGAGAAGATCAAGACAATTGGCAGCACTTACATGGCTGCAACTGGACTTAATGCGTCACCTGGGCCTGAGTACACAACCCAGGTAGGCTGATATCTAATTTCCTATTTTATGTGTAACCGTCACAAAAGTGTGTACCTTTTAACAAAAAGTACCATGGAACTACTTGTTCTCTTATCATTTCAGGAGCATGACAGGCAATACATGCACATAGGAACCATGGTCGAGTTTGCATTTGCCTTGGTTGGAAAGTTGGATGTGATAAATAAACACTCTTTTAATGACTTCAAACTAAGAGTTGGTGAGTAACTTTGGAAGGTTACAAAGTACAAAAAGAGAAAAGTGTGAATGTACTGTACAATACTCAAACTTCTTACACTTTAAGAAATTCTACAGTGGATTGTATTACCTTTCTGATTTGTATATAAGAATAGAAAACTGACAAAAAACTAAACAAATAAAACTATCCTACAAAATGTACAGTCTGTAGATTAGTGACATGTTTGGCTGTCAGGAGTGGATGTAAAAGGAGTTTGTTGTTTTTGTTCAACCCAACAATACCAGACTTCACTCAACACATTGAGTTTATTTGTTTGACTGGTCCACCTGTAGTCAATTTCAGTCTGCTATTAATAAATGTATGAAGCATCATAATGATGAGAAATAGCAACAGCTATGTCATGTTGACAAGTAAAAGTAAAGGTAATGGAACCTACTGGAGAGTGCTGCTGACTTTATATATTTTGTTTTCAAAATACAGTTGAGTAAACCAGTGAAAGCACTGAAAACCATTAGATATTTGAGGCGGTAAGATTAAGATTCAAACATTAACAAATTACAAATTTTCTATTGTGCTGAGGGAATAAAATTCCCATTATCTGAAAATCTTTATAAATCAACCTGCTCCCTGCCACGGAAATAATCTCTTCTTCTTTGTAGAAACGGACAGCAATGCAATTATGTGTAATGACACTTATATGTTAAAAGGAAGGAAAGCATGCAGGTTCCAGCTCCCAGTGAGTAGTAAGAGTCAGAGTTCAATACCTTTAACCTGTCTATGCAGAACTCAGCAGGAGTTGCACCATTTACTCAGCAGTATGCATGTGAGGACTGTACATCCCTGCTGCTTCCAGATGGGGCCTAATATGCTCCATCAGGCAGGAGTACTGGCCCTCATGCACTCAGTTGACAAAACCCACGGCTGTGTGCTTAAGAGTACTACCTTCACCCATTCGTAGATTTTCTTTTTCCCAGTTATAAGAGACAGACAGAGTTACTTTAGAAGAGGTGCTGATAGTGTTAGGGGTTAAGCACTCAGGTGCACATAGCTGCACCTTTTGAAGGTTGTGATGAAATGTCAGGTCTTGTCTAACAGCAGCATGTTTTCTCAAAAGGTATTTTGAGTTTTGTACAAGCTACTACACAGGAAAATGTAATATGCATGAGTATCCATTTGTACCCAGACAAGACGTATAATAAACAGACATTCCATCAGAAGAGAAAGCTGAGAGACAATGTTAGAGATGTTTACCAGAACTTTGTTTTTCTTTCTCAGGTATTAATCATGGTCCAGTGATAGCTGGAGTCATTGGGGCCCAGAAACCACAGTATGATATCTGGGGGAACACAGTGAATGTAGCCAGCAGAATGGACAGTACTGGAGTGCTGGGGAAAATTCAGGTGAGTAGAGTCAGAATTTCCTTTGTCCCCATATAAAAGAATTGTTACTGTGAAATCCACACCTTTCATAGCAGGACTTTATTTTCGGTCGGTAGGTTCCAAACAAACATGCCTGTTTGAAAAACAGGACTCGGTAACAGCAGTAACACAGGTTAAACTGTTTAGTGACACAGAAAATTACGCACTTGAATCCAATTAATAATGTCGTACTTTTCTACTGTGGTTAAATGTGAAATAGAGTGCTTGCTCCAGAGACGTAACTGTGCTTTTGAGCAGTTTAGAATTCATGTCTGCATGATGAGTAAATGGTGCTTAAATGGAAACCCTTTAGAATGGACTGGGATGCACAAAATAAAAGGAAATGCCAACACATATGGTCATTAAAAGGCAAGCTTTTGTTAGTTTTGATCCCATCATGAACCAGCCGTTGCTCTTGCTGGACCAGCATGGCATTGCAGATGTGTAAAAGATGAAACTCCTCTTCCCTCCCTGCACGTTCCATTTATGGCAGCAAGGACATCTCATCATCTTAACATGATGTGACGTCTTTAAATCTTATATAGGCGTTCCGTCTGAGCCCTGATAAGATATAATGGTTTCCTACCTGCAAGGCGTGCGGCTGCTGCTATCGTTCATTCTTCTGGGAGCTGCATCACGCTTCGCAGCTTGAACACGTTTGATAGAGGCATCTGCTGAGCGGTCCAGCATAACTGCAGTGCTCTCATTTGCATTCCAAGACTACCTGTTGATGATTTCAAATATAAGGTGAAGAAGAATAAGAAACATGGAGATTTTGAAAAATGTTTATATAGAGACGACAGATATTTGCCACCCTTAGTTAATGTTACTGCTATTATAAAGTTTTAAACCATGACAGGATTTTCTTGTGTTGCTCATGCATACTGCAGGATGGTTATGCAGTATTTCATCATCAGCTACTTTGTTCTCTGGGAATTGCGTTTTCTCTTTGCTCTCCTGGTTTCTGTTTAATAGCAACATTGAATGCGTAGCATGTCATGAATTGTGGCCTTCTTCCTGAGGGGGGAATTGTAGCAGAGGTAGAATTGTTTAACAAATGTGAGCAGTTAAATATTTATAGAGTTTAAAAACTACAGGTTAGAGTTTAAACAGCAGTTATCCTGCTGAAATGCTGTTTCGATCTATTAAACACAGCAGAGGGCAGGCGATGCACCGCTACGTTCAGTGGACAATCCATTACTCATAAGGTAGTAGTAAGCAGACTTTTCCTGGGGAGACCTGAGTGCTTTTGCCAGCAGGAAGTTGATGCAGTCATTAATATAAGGAAAATTGACTTTACCAATGTGGTTCTCCCTGCAGGTGACTGAGGAGACGAGTCGTATTCTTCTGACCCTCGGATACATGTGTTCTTGTCGAGGCATCATCAATGTCAAGGGAAAAGGAGAGCTTAAGACCTTCTTTGTGCACACAGAGATGACTCGCTCCCTGTCCCAGGGGAATGTAATGCCGTAAGACTGCTTCAGAATGCTCTGCATTTACACAGACACGCAGAGCTGACTTTGATCTCAGACAGAGAAGCTTTTGATCTTCTCAATGCTGTTGTAAAAGAAAAGAGTTCGCACCAGCAGGGAATCAGATCTGGACTGCAAGGAAGAGACTAATAAGATTTTACTGTTACAATGCATTACCTTGGCCAGAGCTGTAGTATACATTTAGTAACCTGCGTAATTTCAAGTGTAGCATGGAAAGCAGGAAGGCAGTAGACCCCAAAAATAAACTGGCATAGGAATGCTAAAGAAATCCACAGAGGGGATTTTAGTGAGCTGTAGTTATGTACAGTATGTTCTTACAGAGAGGAGACTGTCACATGGTCCAAATCATTGTTCTGAGTTCGCTCTGGGATGCTTGAAGTAGTTGCTGTACCACAGGAACCCATTTTTCAGCCAACTGGCTAAAAGCAAAAATCACATTTGAAATGGTAACACTTTGATTGCGGGATCATGCCCTAGTCAAGTTGAAATTGCATGGCAACATGTTATTTTAGCAGAGCATCTTAGAGTTTCATAGAGAACAATGATGGCAACACAAACACCAGCATGTTGTTGCTGTTCTGAATGTAAGCATATGTGTGTTCCCGTCACACATTTCCAGAGTATAGTACAAAAAATATCTGATGTTCCGAGCTGTATAGTGTCTACATAACCCCATCATTCATGTTAGAAGCACCACGTCTTGGATGTAATTGACAGGCAGTCAAGGACTATAAGAGTTAAAAACCACATTTAAAAAAAAGGGGGTCGATCAGTATATTGTGATATTCACACAGGTTTTCCAAAGTTACTGTTACACTTAAATCATCTTATCTTCTTTATCCAAAGTTACCAGATATTTCAATGCCTGCAAACAACAGTGTGGGGACAGATGCATAAGGAGCCTGTGGAATGTATACACTTTTATTTAAATGATTTGTACTAAAAATCCATCAATACAGAATATTACAGAAAAAAACGCTAATTCATTCAAGATTAGTTACAAGATCATTAATCATGTTAAAAATATATTGTTATAATGTGAAACCTGCCTTTTCATTTTAAATGTGCGCATGAATCCAATTCTAGATGTAATGGTATCAGAGACAGATAATGCAAATGGAGAATTTTGTGTTTTGGATATTTATGCATCTGACCTCTTATCTAAAAGAAACAAAAACATGACAGAGTAAGCATACTGGCTAAAAATGGATGAGATGATTTTAGTTTAAAGATTCTATTTTGGGAAGTTAAAACCTGATCTTTAGAGCACGTTTAGTATGGTGGTTTTGTAAGAAAAGCAAATGCTATCAAAAAGTGTTTTGATGTTTTGATTATGCCATTGTTTTTTGTAAAAACGTAATTAAAATTTCTATGTATTTCCTTTCTGTTGAGTCATTTTATTTACCTGTAGAATTCGACGGCCATTTTCTTTGGATTGGCCAGTTTGACTAGCTGATGGAGACAACCAAAGCAGCTTCTGTCTCTATAGGAAGAGGTTGTGTTGAAGTGATGAGGGAACAGCTGGTTTCCTCTGCATACTTAATGACGCTCGTTTTGTGGCTTGGGGAAATGTGTAATGGCTGTATGTGTCAGTGGGCGTCATTTCACATCACAGAGGAGGGCCACACCCCGGAGGATCCAGTTCTCTGAAGGAAGGGAAGTTTTCAAGTCTACATTTGCAATGTAATTCACATCGGTCCTAACCGGCTTCTTATAGATTGGACAGGAATAGAGGCGGGAATCTTTGGTGCCTGCAACATACAGAAAAAAAATCCTACTTATTTCCAAAGCACGTTGAGAAAATTCAAAACGGCTACTTGATATTTTGTACTAAAAGAAACCAGCAGCTGGCATAGGACTTTTAATTAAACATCTTTGTAAGTAGCACCACTTTAAGTGATGAAATATTAACACTAGTTTGGCCATTGGGGGCTCTGGCTGTGTTAACCAAAACATCTGTTTCTATGATGTAAAATCTGCTATGAAACGGATGTTTGCCTCTGCTCCCTCAGCACCACTTTTTTTCTGAATCTCATGCCTGCATTTTGCCGGCCTTTTTCTTATCGCATGCTGAATGACTGAATTTTCCTTTAAAAGGCCTTCATCAGCACAGAGGTCAACATGTTTTACACAAACACGCAAACCATCATACTCTTATAGATGGTAAAGCTAATCTGAAGAGAGTAGCAATTAACTAGAGCCACGATAAATGCTCAAACATTTTAGACAAAAAGTGTTTCAATCAAGTTTCTTAAACAGCTCTCAAATGTACTTTGGTTCTGACACACAGACAGAATTCAAGTTTAGAAAAGGAAAAATATGTCAATAGTCACATTAAAATCTGGACATTTTGAAGAGTGTAGACTGTGATTTCTGAGCAATTACTGAACAGTTTTGTTTAAGGGAAGCACTTGCTAAGCAGTAAGTGTAGTTACTGAAAAAGCAGAAGGCTGAAACTGCTCAGGAGCACCCCAGGTCAAAGACACTGCTATCCACTAGTTTCCAGCCTGAATCCACGGTCTCTTATTTTATAGTCCCGTGAAATTCACCAACAATGACATAACTTAGTGTTACAATAACAAATTTTAGACAAAAGCTATCATCCCAAATACACCCAAAGAGATGAATGTGACATTCATAGCAATATAGTGGGCAACAGACTTTCAGCAGTATGTGTAAAGCATTTGTTGCAGACAGAGCTGTGCAGGGCAAAGCTACATTATGACTTAAAGCATAGGTTTTCCAGTCAGTGCAAAATAGGGGTGGTTGTTTGGGAAAAAAACAGAAGAAAATATTTTGGGTTAAAAAAATAACTGCTCAGTGTTTGGAGGTACATGGGAGGACATTAAGACTTGGAGGAGTGTAAACATGGCCTCCTCTGAGAGGTGTTATAGTCCACACCAGTGGGTAGCATCAGCAGACATTAAGATACTTAAAATGTGATTTGTTTGTTGACGCTGAGGTTTTTAAAATTTGAATTCCATTCCAGCAGAGTGAAAAATGCTTATGTGAAGCCGTTTGCGCTGATTTTCAGTCAAATGTTTTCAGATTTTTTTCTTTTGCTTTAATTCTTTTAAAGGAATTAAAAACAAAACAAAGTTAATGAATGCAGTTGTTGGGAACTAGGATGTCAAACACTTTAAAGATTTGGCAAAGGCACTAGTAGTCCTCTGGCACATTTTCGTCTGGCTAAGCGTTTCCACAGGAGTGAGTCAATCCCTGACCACAGTATCTGCATGTGCTAGTCTGGTTTTCTGACGCTTCACTTTGTGCCGTTTTGGCTTGACAAATATGTTTACATATATCAACATTTGGTCAAACTACAAAACTACTATATCTGTTTTAATGGAAATGTACCAATTGATATTATAATTACATTTTGGCTGGCAGAATAAAGTAAAATGTCACTGTTTCTAAACTTTTAACAATTTCCCAGTTTTTCAGGGCAACTTCTGTTCCATGACCTCAAGTGTGTGATGGTTCTAAAAAACTTTAGAGTGCACAACCCCTTCAGCAGTCTTTAGAAAGAGTCTTAATTGCTCTGCAGCGTGTCATACAATCAGCAGCATGAATGTGAACTCCAGAAGTTCCTTTAAAAAAAACTGTTGCTTTGTTATGTGGAGATCATTGCTATTCACTTCATCTGTCAGTTAATGTTGTAGCGCCTCAGTGTACTCTGGCCTTTTTCCAGAAGAAATACTTAGCCACATACTGCTGGAAATCTCTTCCTCAACATAATAGCATTTAGTCTGCTTGACATTTAAATGTTACATCCATCCAGAGAGTGCGTGGGATGGGAACCTTAAGAGGAGAGATCCACTATGAAACACTGGATTAAAGCTTCTGCATCGAGATTAGAGTCCCTGTCTAAAATGATAAAACTCACCATTATTTTCGGCGTACATCCTGATCACAGGCATCATCTCGAAGAGGACTTTAGGTTTGGAGTCAATGAGTTTGCAGCTACGGCGGTCCCAGCCAGCCCCCTCCAGGTAGAGCCCATAAACATACACTCCCTCTGCGGGGGGTTGGGTGATGTCATCCTTCATCCACTTAGTCACATCATTACACAGCACCATGCGGTCCAGCGCCCAGCCCTTGTTGGCTCGAGTAATCTCCTGTGAGTGAAAGTAGTTTTTATTTTTTTCAGTTTAGGTAAAGATGAGGCCACTTTAGTGCACTTAAGTGATTTTATTAAAGGTGGCTGTTTTTCCCACTTGTAAGTCAATTGTCAAATGACAGGTGCAGATACACAGCAGATCTTTGCAAGACAAGTTGGCTACTTCTAGCGTGTACACACAGAATTGACAATTCTGCAGATAGATAGTGATTTCAGCCATCTGACAAAAGCTGTGAATGTACCTCCTGAGAATCCTGAACAGAAGCTCAGTGGTGGCTAATTTAATAATCTAAAAAATCTTTCTTTTTCCATAGGAATGGAATATTTAGTACAGGACAGAATTGGATAATAGTTGTTTGTCATATGTGGAAACATGACATGAAAAAGGATTTTAACCAACCTTCTAGTTCAAAGCAAATTTACTGGGTTAGAAAACATATGTAGGCTCTACAGAGTCTTTTCGGATAGTTTCACAGTTACTATTTGCAAAATATTTGTGTAGTAAATGTGCAACCAAGGGGTGTATTATCTTTCATGAAATGCATCCATTGTATTCAGTTCATCAGTTATCATTTTTGGCTATAATACAAAACCCATTTTAGTCATATTATAGCCAATTTCCTGTTTTGTTTTAACAGTTTCCATTTTTATTGTTTTTCCCTCCAAAAACCAACAGATTCATTTTAAACTGCAACCAATTCAATACAATATTCCTTTTACAAAAACTACAATGATTATAAGCTATTTCAAAAGAATTCAGTCCAAAACGTGTGCGATAAGCCAGAACAAATAAACCAGACATCAAACAATGTCTGGTTTACTTACAGAAATTGTCCACATCAGAACTGTATGAACAATTCAGTAAAGGCTGACCATGTTCATATAAAAGGTAAAGAAAACTAAATCATTCAAATTTTCAACAAAAGGAGGATTTATTAAGTCCTTCTTTTTATTATCCTATTTATAATCTATATCTTTCTAGTTACTTGACTGGATTTTATTACATTAAAAGAAGAATGGAACATATATCAATTATTGTTCTATAGATGGATGTTATGGTTACAGTTTAATCTATACATTCAACCCTGCTACTTAATTTGCCTCATGTTTATCCAGCACAAATGACAGTGGAAAAGAAAGAAGAATGTCTTTCTACATTTGACCAAGTGTGTGTGCATGTATGTATGTTAGCGAGTGGTGGTGGACCCGCTTCTCCCTCTGTGTACCATCTGGTCTCTTCCTTGGCGGTGGGTAAATAAGTGGGCTGCAAGATGTTGTATGTACCTGTCTCATGGCTGTCAGGAAGCCCTGTGGGTTGAAGAAACCTGTCATCCAGAAGCAGTTGGGGCGCCCCTCAAAGATCCAAGCCTGGAATTGGCGGTTCCGCTCAAGCAACTCAGTGAACCAGAACCCAAGAGTACTGGAAGCCCACGATGCCTGAAAAGAATAAGGACAAGCAACAACATGATCAAACCATCACGATAACACTGAAAACTGTCACCCAGCAGAGAAGTAGTAAGTCAACTGCAAGTCAATGTGTTGAAATAAAACTGTGGCTGTAGAAGAGCTGAATTTGGGGAACTGGAAATGGGGAACTCAGGTGGGCATTCAAATACAAAAATCAATTGAAAATGCATTGAATATGGAAATGATGAATCAGCATGTAAGACATTTTTATTGGTCTCAGACAGTTCTAACTCAAGAAGACTGACCTTCTTCCAGCATGCGGGAATGCGAGCATCATACATACAATCCAGTGCATCCCGCAGATTCTCGCTCATGATGATGGTTCCATCAATGGCCAATTTAAGGTCTGTCAAGGTATTTCGAACCAGAACTATGACCCTTTGCATCCGATCAATCTCCTGACGCAGGAAGATGTTCATAGGCTGAAAAGGGCCCATCTTTTGAAGACGCTCTCTTACCTAGTTACAATTAATTAAGATAGTACAAAAAAAATCAGGATATCTAACATCAATAATATCTTTGTATCAACATGTGTACTGTTTATAGTTACGTTTTTACTTTTGAGTGCACACCAGGATGAATATGACATTTTTTTAGGTATAATGAATAACATACAAATTGTACTTAATATATTTTGAAGTGACATGATATACAGTCTTCATTTGCCATATAGGAAGTAGGCAGAGTAATGGGAGTGAGAGTGTCACATAGGGTGTTTTATGAGGTGACGGTTATGCTACAGACAGGAAAACAGGATGATCAAATTAATGTTACCATTTCAAACACCAGTCCCGCTGCACTGTCTGTATCAGACGTGGAAGCACATTGAACATGACGTTTCAGTTCAAACAGCTTGCTCAGGCTCTTCAGGGGGAAGACACACTCACTTCAAAAGGTGCGTAGTCCGGAGGCAGCTTCTCCAGCATGTCGTCAGCTAGCCTGGACACGGCTGTCTCTCTGGTCTCCCCACTTCCTGAGGAGCTGTCTTTAGGCTGAATACTGAGGATAGTATCCAGTACATCTTTGGCCAGTTTACTTTGAAAGGTTATATCTGCATTGGGGTGCAGACCAAACACCTCTGGGGTGTCGTAGGCTGGAAGACTCTAAAAGCAGAACAACAGTAGTTTTTAAAAACTCATTTGGAACCCACATTGTTTGACTAGAATAATATTCTTAAACATAGATTATATCCTCACATTCTTTCTTCCTTCACAATGAGTGAGAGTAGCAACTTAATATCTTCCTTAATATATCCTCAAACTGAGCCAGAAGATGCCCGTTTGTAACTTTGTGGGACATTTCCATGTGCTATCTTTTTACATTTTCTTCTTTTTTTCTTCTCCTTTCCTGTTTTGGGAGATGTCCCACCACCCTTCTCCCCTACAGGTTCAAAGACCTAATTCACTGCCAAGTGCTGTCTGGTGGGAGGTGTAGAGAGCAAGAATGTCTTCACATGCACATGGTGTCACCACCTGCCTCTTCTCTCTTTCTATTGAGATGAAGGATCATGCTTAAGTCAGATTATTCCACCTGAAAAGCAGTGCAAGACCCCGAACAACTACTATAACAGGTTGTTGAAGTGACAAGGTCAGTCCCAAGCTTTATGGCACAAAATAGACTCATAACAAGCCTCTACCTCTGTATCTATCCCACTTAACTGGATATATTAAAACATCAAATATAAAGAGCTGTGCATGAACAATTTAGTTTATGCACAACATTTATGCAGTTTTATGCATATAATAACGTCTGACATTTCTCTGTATCTTCATGATTAATTTAACAAAAGTGGAACTAGAGAAGCAGTGTGCCTGAAAACAAAGTATACCATAATTTGTGCTTCAGCAATCACTGCAGACAAGTCATGCTTGCTCAGTCTTTTTCCAAATGTACGATGAACTTCAACTTAAATGCAAAAGCTGGTAGAGTTTGAGATGTGGTGTCCCCCTCCTTTTTTTTTAGCTGTCTCTCCAAGCATTTCACTGTCTGACCTTTGGATGAACTTGATTTCCCATGTCTGTATGATCTTTCACAGCAGATAACGATAGATTACAAATTGTTTGGAAATGGCTCTGTAAGCCTTTCCAGGTTGACAGCCAACAAATAATATCTTGTCTAGGTCATGGTTACCTTTTGCATCGCTTTGCATTTAGTCAAGATCCACCTGAGCACTCCAGGTAGTTAAAACCCAATCATTAGAACTTTAAAATTAAAATGGCCACACTTGCATGGATGCCAAATGATACATTTGCTCCATCTTCATTTCCACACTATAACAAACTAGTGTTATGATAATGTTTTGCTCGGCTGAGCTGAAAAGAGGAACTGACCCTGCACTCTCTCACATTAAGCTCTGTAGCAATCAATACCAATTTTCCAGCTGGCTTCACAGGCTAAATAACTCAACAATGTGGAAGTATACCCTTGCTGATTTAGCAATTAATCAGCCGGTTTAAAGATTCCAAGAAAATCAGCAGCTTACCTATGAGATCCATCATTGGTTACTGAGCTGTAACTGATAACATTTTGCTAAGGATCAAAGCTAAATTTGGGATTTAAGTTTGAAACATAACTGTTCCAAAAAGGTTCACTACAATTGCTTTGAAGAGAAAAGTGAAAGTGTAACTTCTAAGAGGTCATGTATAGATAAAGATGGATCATATATTTAATGGCTGCAATAAGCTTAATTATTACAAATACCATTGGGTGAGAATAATGTCAAAGGTATGAACACATTCAATAAACTGTGTGATTTGCCTGCTCATAGGAAATTCCACCTATTATTCTGACTTCAAGCATTTAATATTTAAACATAAACACAATCTTTCACTTAAATTGTGCTCTGTTGTGCATTGTCTCCTCAGATAAAGTGTCAACACATACGTGCATTTGTGTCTGTCTTGTACTTCTTTTTAAATGTGTTAAATCCTGTGTATGTGTGTGTTCTCCACTGCTCACAGGTAGCGCAGAGGAATGAGCTTGTTGAGCCTGGCAGCCCCGAGTATCCATCATAATGAAACTAGCTTTAATAAAACAAGCTCAGACAGCCCCCAGACACACAGTTGCAAACCCACCATTCAAGCGCAGAAGTGCAGAAATCTTAAATAATCTTTAATAAAATGAGCATTAAGTCCATAAGTGCATTTTATCTGACAACACATGTGGCAGCATGACACCTGCCTGGCACAAGAACAAAGCAAATCAGTGTAGTTCCTAAGTGCTGCTTGTTTCATAATTTTTTATGTGAAAAAAGGAAATAAACGTGATAAATCTTCCACACGGCTTCTTGACGCCTCATTCACTTTTGTCCTCAAAAGAGATGCTTACCTGAATGTATGTGAGGTACTGATCCACATTGGAGCATTTCGGGATGACGTAGCCCTTGTAAAAATTAAAGGTTGTTCCAAACATGTCCTCGCTGAACCACACCTTAGCAAAGGTGTTAAGGAGGCGCTTGTCATAGTCGTCTGTCACACGACCACCGTACTGAATCTCTCCGATCATGTATCGCACTGTATTCCAAGAAACACCCTGAGAAAATAGGATATTTTGAAATTAACTACCTGAAATAATTCAAATAAATTTGGGCATAAATGGAAATGCATTTCCCCTACTGCAAGCTGCTTTTCTTTTGCTTATTACAACTACAGTATAAATAATATTCTTATGTGCTCATTGATATGGACAACACATAACATCATATTACTTATGAATTGAATGCAGTAATGAAATGTTTTCACATAACTTTCAATATTTTAAATTGAACTATGAATAACTTTTTATACAGGTGGAAAAAAGTATTTTCTGCTATGGTAGGTTAGACGTAAAGTTCCAGTAGAACTATAACAAGCTGTGCATCTATATTAATGGAAGGAGTGTGGGTTGTGTCCATCTGGACCAAACAGTTTCTGCTGTCTTATTAGAGCCACAGCAGCTATCACTGATGTGTTTCATCATCTGACCCATCCAACAAACATTTGTGTACAGTAGTAGAGTGCATATCCAACATATCCTTCACCCACTTTTTTAACGTCCATGTCATCAAGGTGGTTCTGTACAAACTGGACAGTGGCATTAAAATCAGCCTGGTTGAACTCATAGGGGATGTTCCATCCCAAAGGGCCATATTTCCTCCTTTCTTGCACTGTGCTGTGCAGAAACACCACGCCGTACAGCATTGGCTTCCACTGGACCATGTTACTGACATCCAATAGATCTTGGTTTATGCCTAGCAAGGGACACATGGATGAATGCATCAACAGCCTTTTCAACAGTTACATTTTCCACTTGTTTTCAGCCACAGAGAAGACAGAAATAATCAACAAGGTAATATGGATGTAACAGCAAAATGTTTTCTTATGGCTGACACTACAATCATAAGACAAGACAAAGGTAACACTGAATGTACTAATAGCATAAATGGAAACGAGTGCAACTCCTCCAAATTTAAAATTAAAGTGCTGCTTCCTTCAGATGTGATACAAGAGTCGATGATAAATGTATACATAGACTCTCAGTTTTTCCTTAAGAACAACACAATGTGCTTTCAATGAGCCAGAAAAAGGCAGCTGGTTCATGCATGTGAAATACTCTGCTCATTCCATATACATGAGGTCTGAATAAAACCAAGCACTCTATGTTTTAACTTGTTTTATGAATCCACACAGAGCATTTGGGGCTGAGCTGTAAAATGTAGAAACTAAAAGGAAAACTGGTGAATATTCATCTCCTCACCGGTTTCCTTGAGAATATTCTATATGAAAAATAACCTGTCTGCATATTTTCATCCACAAGTTATATGTTTACAAAAGTCCCTTAACCGAGGATGCTAAGATTTTATCAAGCTCCATGCTGACATTTCACTGTTTTTCCAACATATTTAAGGAAAGCATTTTTTTGGATGGAACACTGTAGTAATTTTAGAGGATATTTACAGTTTGATTTTTAATGTGTTCTCATTTCCTTAGAAAAAATAAAATGAAGCCCACTCCACCTCCATAGGTCCGCCTGAGTCCTGCTTTGAGGCCCTGCGGTGGTTCATTTGTAAACTTGATTGACATCTGCAGAAGCGTGATGGGAAAATGTCTGTGGACCTCTGTGGTCATCCAGAGGCGGAAACCATCATGAACAACTTCTGTTTCTGTAACCGTGTCCATCAGCTCATCCATAAAGTCCAGACCCAGGTGGCAGTTCTGGAGTAACGCCCATCCACCCTAGGAACAATAACAGAAATGATGACATGTCATGGAAATGGCAGCTAATGAGTTCATGAGCTATAGAGAAAGAAATTATTCAAACATGCCTTCAGAGTCAGAGCAAACAATTGTAAAGTTCAACGTCATGAATGGAACAACTGTTTTAGCTACTGTATTACATGAAAATTACAATAACTTCTTACTGCTGACTCACATTTGCCATGGTCTGCTGCAGAAGCTTGCGGGCATGGACCTCTTGTCCCTGTCCCATGGAGACATATCGGGTGTCAATCTTAAGTTTCTTCCCCAGCAGGATAATAGAGTCAGTCGGATCTGAGCCCATTGACAGGAAGCAGATGAGAGGTGTTCTGGGGTCTGATTCCTCCCACATCTTCTCCAAGTCAAGAATCATCCCTTCTGTGTACTTCTCCCCCATTGCATCCGTTATGTATTTACGCGCCTAAAGGGATGATACCACAAAGGAAAATGTCATTACAAAACAAAGATAATTTTTTTTAACTTACTCTTTTCAGTCATCACAAAAAAGATGGTTCAAAGAATCATAACTGAAGAGTGCAAAATACCACGATACCAATATACACCCAAAATGGCTTGTTTTCGTAAGCAGATGTCTCCTTTCAACCCAATTTCTAACTTTCTTCACATTAAATAATTCATTTGAACTTAATTTAAAACTATTTAAAGTGTGTTTATGGCTTTTGAGGACCATTAAAACTTCAGCATTTTTATTATCTATTTATACCATTTTGAAAGTACCTAATACGAATCGCAATTTGCACTGAACCAAACCAGGTTCAAAACATAAATGTCAAGTTTTGATAAAATATCTTCTTGATAAACAAAGATCGTCAGTCCACAATCACTGATACAAGTTAACACAAAGCAAATGCATCATGGGTTCCGACTGCGAAAAGTCAGTAATTTCATTAAACAAAAGACGTTATTAAACAGCAGCACTCTAATGGGGAACGATCAAGATAGTGCTTGGATTTTAGGCCCTGAATTCTTATTACTATACCAAAATGCGAATTCAGACCTGTGCAATGGTTCTGTCGGGACACCAACAGCGTATAAGGAGTAGCCGTCGAAAGCAGTCAAGAGTCTGGTCATAGGAGTTTGGGATCACCTCTTCTTCTGGGGCCTCCTTGTCAAACCAAGACTTCCACTGTTTCTCATTCCGACTTATCTGGAGGAAATATACAAGCCGCTGTTTCAGGGAAAGTAAAAAACCTTTTACCGTCTGACAATACTCCATTTAAAACCCTGGTAAAAATGTGAAAACTTTGACGTATGATTAAAAATAACAGACATCAAAGCAGTGAATGATGTTTTTGTTGTGTTACCCTTGAGCAGCTCTACAGGGTTAAGACGTTTTGGTGGGTGTGTTTCACAGCCATTTCATAGAGATGAAACACCACGATCCTGTCTTCACCTTGTTCTTCTTGGAAGACTGATTTTAATAAACAAAGAACTGCTAATCCACCTCTCCCTATCAATCCTGCACTAAAACACTCGCACACTAACACACACAGACACTGTTTGTGTCTGCAGATGTGCCTGTGCTCAGCCAAAACTAATTGATTGGAAGTTTCTCAAAAACTAAGCTCATTTCACAGTGTAGTGGTTTTTTCCCCCACAGTGGAAGCCACCAGGGTGTCAGTCATCCACAAAGGTGTGTGCATTTATGCGTGAGTGACAGTCCATCATGAGTCTGAGTGTCTACATATAAAAGAGAGAATGAAGTGAGCCATGGAGAGACTGATACTGACATGCTTGGTAGAGCAAAAAAGAGCTGTGAAACGTATTTAATAAGGATAGTGGTTTCTACGGCTATTGTATTTGGGTACGTGCGTGTGTGTGTGTGTGTGTGTGTGTGTGTGTGTGTGTGTGAAAGTAAGAGAGAGACAGAGGGGAACAGATGAGACCTGCTGTCTGCAGATTTAATAAAGTCCTAGTGGGTAAACTTGCTTGGATAAAGAGAGGTATTATACTGCTGTCATAGTATGCCCACAATGATGGACAGCTTCATGCGTGTGTTTGTCAGTATGTGTAACGCACCTGATCCAGTATATCAGAGAACTGCCACAGTTTACTCAGCTCTACAAGGTTGAGCCAGGTCATGTCGAGTATCCACTTGGCTGGTTTCTGGGGGCAGGCCTTAAGGTCCAATGATGCACCTCCTGGTTGATACAAACAACCCACACACATAAAAATGCAACACTTTTATATGAACTTATCCTGAATTAAAAATTAAATTATATATCATCAAAATATTTTCCACTGACAAAATAGTTCAGAATACAAAAATAGGAACACTTATAAGTATGCTTTGTCCTCAAATGTGTACACAAAAGTCTAAAGTGTGTGATTCTGTGTACAGCAGGTCGGCGCTGACAGATGGTAAAGCTGCATGCATGTAGCAGACTGTCTGTTCTGGCTGTGCCAGTTACCATTGCTGGCTTTTATCCCTGCAGTGAGGGGCAGTCCTTGTTTGTGATTCAGTGAACTGCTACATTAGGAGTGTATTTCAAATATGCGTAAACTTCAAGAGATACAGTAAAGCAAAAATATATTTAGGGAAGCACTATTTTATCTTCAAATAAATTTGATTATAAAAGGTATTTGTGCTACTAATAAACTAATAATAATGCAAGCAGATTTCCAGGTTTGGCATTTTGTCAATGATACTCCAGGCAGTGAAGCTTAAAAGCCAGCTCCACTTAGCGTGAATGCTCAGGCACAAGAGCGCCTCCAATTTGCAGAAAGAAACTGACCCACCCGTAAACTGAGGTAGAGGAACATTTCAGAATAAAACCTGAAAAGCACCCATTTCTGTCTTACCTTTGATGAGTGTGAGAAACTCCTCGTGCTTGACTTTGCTGCACTGCATGTCAATCTTTAGCGCCATCAGCAAAGTAAAGAGAAACTTGTGCTCTTCATACAGACCCCGTGCTGCATACTTATACACCTCAAAGGTCATGTAATCTATGATGCTGGTAATCCGTTTGCTGGTGATGGGACTTTTGGAGGATCTGTTCAGAGAGAATATTCCATGATAACCATTGATCTAGGTTGTTCTGTATGCAAATATAATTCCGCAATGTGATCGGAACAATTTAATCCAAGGACAAGTGGCATTTTGGACTTACAAATAAAAAAAATAAAATAAAAAACGTGTTAAAGCATAATTAAATCAACTGTGTCAACAATGACTTTGAAGCCAATAGATTAAATATGACAAGATGAGAGTTCAGTTTTCAAAATGCATGTGTATGAAATGACTCAGTGGGAAAAAAAACATCTTGCTAATACTGTCCATGCAGGAAAACAGGCAATGTGATAATATAAATCTTCACACCTACGAACAGTTGCAAGAGACACATTTAAAGTAAGATGTCATACTTAAATGTTGTATAAAAGGAAATAAATGAAATAATAAAAGAGACATAAATGATAAGTATTAGAATATTAATGTCAATGCACTTCTAGTTTCTAAATAAAATCTGTTTACAATGGAAGGTAAGAATAATAAGTGCATTACATGTAGCATTTAAATAATTTAAATCTGTCTAATCTGCAATAAAAGCTAAACTGAATGTAAGCAGTAAAACCCTTGTTGACACAGTCCTATTGAGATGTTTCAGAAATTACATTAGTGTTTAATGTGCGTCTTGGGTAAGATATAAATGATATCTGTTGTTACATAATTTTATCTTAAATTTTCAGTTATAATGCTCATGTTGCAGAGATGTTTCACTGTAAAAGCTGCAACTACTGACAAGTCCTGTATGTGTATAACACAGCAACATAACATGACAACCACATCATAGGCAGCTTTCCTTTCCTATTCAGGGAGCCCTCTCCTTTCAGATTCTTATTAAGAATATCTGATTATTATTGGGCACTGATATTTTGACATCTTGGCAATTATATTGAATGGACGTTTTATTGCAAGTTCATCACGCAGTGCAAATATTCCAAATGTGCTGAAATAGGAGCTAAAGACAGATATCGAGGTAGGTTTTGGGGCACAGAGGGCATCTGTCGGACTTTGAAATTCCAAATATCTATGATTTTCTCATAATGGCACATGTATATCTGCCTATAATCAGGATCAGCCACCTAGATCTTTGACAAAATGTGGCATGATGTGGCAAAGCAGTTAGAATATAAAGATGTTAACCTTCTGGGTTACCAGTGGCTTTAAAGACCATACTAAAACGAGTATCCTCACCTAGCGAGAGAAAGGTCAAAAAGTCCAAGGAACTGCCTCAGTGACGTCTGATACATGACATTGACCATACTCATCTCAGTAATGAGGAAGTACAGGATACTGCCCCTTGTGGCCACTGAAAACACAATTAAAAACACTAACTCAGTAAAAGATGGAAACTTGCAATGGAGGTTATCAATAATAATAACAATTGGGATTATACAAAAAACATCTGACAAACAAAATTATTGATGAAATGAAATACAATGCTTGTTACTAGTTAAATTTGTGTCATAGAAAAAAATGCATTCAGTCTTTCAGCTTGTTGTGACCTACCGGGTCGGTACTCCTCTCTGGCCGCATTAATCTGCACTTCAGTCTCTGCGGCAATGTGCAATTTCTGAGTGACCTCCTCAGCTGTGCGCTTTGTGTTGCTCAGGACGAGAATCAGGCTCTCGTCATCAACCAGCGAACCCTACAAACAAACGCATTTGCATTAAACACTTAGCAAGTACTCCCTTATTATTCTGATGCACTCCAATAAATCAGAGTTTGAGATGTGTTTGCTTACCTGTGTGCTGGTAAGTCGGTAAAGGAGGTTATCTTCAAGTTCCTTCATCTTTCTCTTATTGTATGTCACATCTTCTAAGAGATCAGTCCTCTCCTTTTCCATTTCCTAGTGTCAAAATCAAGTAACAAGTGCAAAAATGTTTATTATAAAGCAGAAAATTGTAAGGAAAGGCCAAAGGTCACTAAAGTTATGGTTTGCGGATGGTAGAACAAAGAGGACCCAAATGTACTGTAGACATCAAACCACTGGTTTGTTGAAAGATGAAAGAAGATATTTATTTGAATAAGAAGCTAAAGTATAAAAGTAAGATGAAACAGAGTACAGGCGGAAGTAAGATTAAGAACAACAAAAAACAATGAGCTGTCAATAACAGAAAAAAGTGAAGAATGGACAAATATAGAACAAATCCTCATGTAAAATAACAATGTAAAATAATCTTAATCTAAATCTAAATTCATAACCCCCATTAAAATGAAAAATACTGTCACCTGAGGAAAGGCCTTTTAGACTACGAGTCGTTCTAAGACGGCACTTTGACCAGACAGACAGGAGGAAAGATCAAAGTGAAGCTCTTCTCCCTGTTCTCGATACCAAATTTCACAGCACTCTTACTAAGAAAACTGCTTTTAACAGTATAAAAGCTGTCGGAGGATGTGTTTAACATTCCAAACATTATTTATGCTATCGCAGCTACAGCACATACCTTCTTAAAGAAGAACACAGTTTGTTTTGAAACTGACAAGATAATCGTTTCATAAAATAATAATAAAAACTGTAACAAAGTTGAAACTGAGCTCCAAAGGTCATCAGGGAATAAATCTGAAAATGTAAATATAAAAGAAAATGCTTAATCTCTTTGCATCAGTACACCTAAAGCAGATGAAACCACAGTGATGCTGACACCAAGTTTCATGCCACAAATGTCTGACTGGCACCCCTTTGTATAAAGTAGAGTGGGCTTCAGCCGCAGCAATAAGCCCCAGTGACACTCCACTGATGGACTAAAAATCTAAGCCGGTATGAATCAGTGTGTCGAATTTCAACTCATCAGTTTCTACAGTGATGATTTACTGTGTAGAGCCCAGTTGGATGAAGGACGACACACAAATTTAAGAAGTGTACCACTGCAAATTATTTTCAAAGACATCTATAAGTGATGCTGTAGCTGACAGTCATCTACAAATTGGTGCTGTGACACAAAGTAAGAACAAATGACTCAGAATCAACCAAAATATTTGGCTTCATTTTAAAAGCATAAAACAGAAAGAAAAGCCAACGGGGACTTTTCTTGTGAGTCACTGGCATGGCTCTGCTATTCCCATGACCCAGATGATTTGCCTTCAGACAGATACCAAATTATCAAAAGGTATGAGAAGATTTCTTCATCATGAATAGTATTTTTTTCATAGTAGTTTGGGTGCTTAAAGTGGGAAGGAAACTGCAAAGCGTGACTAACACGAGTTCATGCTTGATCTTTCTCTTCATATAAAACAATGGATGTCTGGCTTGTTTTTTTACCCTATCAGTATTACTTTTGTTGGAGCAATGTAAAAAAATATAAAAACCTAAGGAGTAAACGACCATCTGCATGTGAAAGATCTATCAACTCAAAAGAGAACCAGCAGGTCTTGAAACAAAGATAGTGGTTCCAGATCATTTATCATGATCATATCCCAAATTTAGCACATACTGAGGATAACAAGCTATTCTTCTCTTCTTTTGCATGAATCTTTCATTTCACGGCCACCCATTACTGGAGAAAATTGCTTCTCTGCAAAAGCACCAGTCTTTTCAGAAGGACAATCAATGAGTCCTTTGCACTGGTGCATTTATAGTGCACCATTATATCCCCCACCTTGAATGACTCAAGTCCCTGCACTGTATATGTGTGTCTTTGTGGATAAATTTGGGTTTATGCATGAGAACACCATTTCTGGGCAGCTGGTTGTTTCCTCACACTGACGGTGTCTAAAGGCTTAATAACTGCCATGTTCTTTAAAGGGTGATAATAACCTTGCAGTGTTGAAGTTGTCATTAGTGAAAATGAGGCACACGGTGTTAAAAAAAGTGACAAAAGCCTACAAGGATCTCTATGAATCATATGATGTCAGACAGCCTTTGAGTTAAGTTTACTGAAACTTGAACTCATATTTTGAAATTGAGGATTTAATTACTTAAAAGCTAAGAGACTATGTGTGCGGTGGTTTTGGATGTAAACTATACCTGTTTTTCAGTGAGGATGACTCTGCCCAGTAGTTGATCCTCGAGTCCTCTCATGGTAACAGTGAAGTCAATGATGGAGGTGCGAGCACTGATTTCAGGAGTGTAAGCTGGGTTAGGAAGCTTTGTGGTCATATAAAGCCTGAAACCTTTCATCACATCCACCTCTTTGTCACCAACTTTCACCTGAAGGTGATGAGAAGGGAAGCAAAAACCTCAACAATAAACACAAAAGTAACAGAAAGATGGCAAAGCTGAGATCACAAATCACAGACATCCCTGTATTCACCGAAGAACGAAGCAGAGAGTGATTTTTAAAAAGTCCCTTAATCAGGCATACTCTGTCAGTGAACAGAGTTATGTATCTAAATCTGTTCAGAAACATTACTTGTGTGTTTTTCCACATTAATTTGTGCATGTGCACAGAAGCGTGCATGTCTTTACTCGGACCGGCATATAATTACTCGTGGCAGCATTACTCCTAATTATCCATCTGCTTCCCTGTCCCCGGAGCTCTTAACTACAGACACCTTCACTTCCTCTCACACAAGTATATTTATAGAAATTTAAACTTCTTGGGCAACACAGACAGGAGAGAGCACACATTTGTGATCTCACATCATGTAGCTGAGACCTCAGCTAGATGTGTTGTCCATGTAGCACATGCTTGCTGTCAAACACAACTGAACACAACGGTACTTGAATACTTTCCTGTTGAGAGAGGTGTTTGTTGGCTGCGTGAGTATATACATGTTTTTTTTTTGGCACAGAGGCGATAACAAGTAACAGAGATGCTTATAGGCAGACTATTAACGTCAAGAGAAAAGAATCATTTTATGTATGTTGCAGGGCATAGAAGAGGTACTTTTTATAGTTATGTGGATGGGAACAGCATTTCCGTTTTCAACAGAAAACCGCTTTAATTACTTTGAATTATTTATGGCTCAAAACCTTAGAAGCAACACAGAAAGGGGAAAATTGTATGTACAGTTGGAATGTTTTTTATGAAAAGCTCAGAGCGCCTTAGTGGGAGATATAAATATAGCATGCTCTCCTAATGCACAGCTCCATCTATTCTAGCACCTCTAAATATACCATACAGATTTTGATTCAGGGCTTCCATGTTGGGAAATGAAATTATTACAAATTAAAAAGAATAAAAACACTACAACCATGACCTGCAGTTCGACAAATTACAGGCCCAACATTGCAGGAAATGGGAATGCTAAAAGAAAAAGTAATCCATTTGTTTCGGTCCACCTAGAAATTATAAGTTCTAAGAAAAATTTTATCTAAATGCAAAATTCTGTATTTCAGCCTTCTTGACTTTTTTAAGCCAATAAGATCATTTATGGAAGTTTGATATAATTTCTCTTTGACTGTTTTTTGGTTTGTCATGTTAGAAAAAAAATGTGTTTGGTTGATATAGACAGGAACATTGGTCATCAGTTAGAAGGAATTATTTTAAACTATATTTATCTGTCTAACACAATGAAGGTAATCTGACCTGTATATTTTGAATCCTCCTTCCTTGTAGATATATTCACACGTGATTTAAAAAAATGATTATGTTAAGGACTAAACCTTTAGAATGTATTGGATACACTTTATTCTTGGCCTAATTAAGTTTTTAATGCACGCTTTCAGTAAATAAAAAGCATGTTACCTTCACATAAGTTCTGATGTTACTCAGTTGGCTCTTTGTATTAGAGGATTCAAAACAATATGGCTAAGAAAACTGTACACATATGTAAGAAAATTAGGCAAAAGCACCATAGTTCCTTTTAAACCAAGTTTTGTTAAAGAATGGGTGGTGCTAAATTTATGTGCTGAAGAAGAGAATAAAGGTGGGGGGGGGTAATTTTTACAAGAGACTCAGTGGCTGTACGGAGGTAATTTATTCCGGTGTCTCTGTCTGCACATTCTGTGAGTGAACATAATAGCTACATTTTCATTTGTTGCACAGCACTTGCTGATTTAGGTCAGTTGATCTAACCGTCTTGAAGAACCGTTACATCTGCTCTGACAGTACTGCTGTTTAAGAAGTGTTCAATTCTCTGCTGTTTTATTTCACTAATAAAGGTGTGGCAGCTGTCACCACAAGATGGGACCTGGCAGGATCCCAACAAGCCTCCGCAATTTGTTCCAGTTTACCTTGTAAGTAGAGCCTGTTTTGATGAAGTTTTTCTCAAGAATGTTGTCAAGCGCAGGGTCCAACTCTTCCCCGATATCTTCAATCAAGAATGGTCGACCAAAAGACAAACTGTCCTCAAGATGATTTTTGAAGTACTTATGGTTCAGTGACGTGATCTAAAGTCAAATAAGTAAACACATGTAAAGATACAAGACAGTTTTTTGGTATTGATGTTGGGAAATCTAATTTTTTGCACAGTTTACGAAATCTTAACAAACCAAGCCTGACCCTATGACCTGAAATTTACATTGGTCAGTCTCAAACTACACGATTTACTTAATGTAAATTGTTTTTGGAAAGGTTTGACGAATACGACTGGGGTACTGTATCTGCAGGGTGCTTATTATGCAGTTGCAGAGTGCTTTCAGTCTGAATGAAGATCAAGGTTTACAAAGGCAGTGACCTTGGCTAAACTCATAGTGCTTGTTCCTGTGATTTTCCCGGAGTACTGTCCATGTTGTACAATGAAAAGAGATAAAAGCTAATATAACGCTGCTGAAATGGAGAGACCACTGCTATTTCTATCATTTAACAAGATTTGAGATGCCACTACATATCAGAGTAAGCACAGAGGATTAAGAAGGAGATAAGAATGTCTGTTAGTTTGTAATATTACAGAAATAAACCCTACAAAAGCCAAAGAGACTGAAAAAAATGTGAAAAGTGAAAAGATATTTGACCAAGATTATTAAAATTATGTATCAATTGAAAACAGGGTAAATCCAAACAAAATAATTATCCCGACCTGCAACTCATTCCTGGCTTCTTTGTTCTTAATCCAGATTTTTCCCTGTGTTTGTGGGTCAATGAGGAGAGGGAACCGGGCAGCTTTAGTCACAATAATACCATTGTGAATGGATAAGTCATCATTCGGCAGCCCCTGTAAGATATGTAAATCTCTGTTGAACCTTAACGATGTTCACGGTTTAAATTGCTGATCAGTAAATAAGCAATTTTTATTCACTCAAAGAAGCTTTAAACACTCAATAGTGAACTAATTTATCTTTGTAGCTGTATGGGGTATTGTTGAACAAAATTATATCTTCACAGAAAATAAACAAAATCTAAAGCTTTAAAGTAGATACGTCAGCATTTTTTGACCAGAAGATGAGCCAACTTGGTTAAAACCTTACAATTAAGAATAATGGGATAATGTGTATTCTAAAATGCATTTTACATTCTGCATGATCATGGTTAGCAATATGGATGAATTACCTGGAGGTTCCATTCACTGACAGTAGGTGCATCAATTAGCAGCTCGGTCAGGTTGAGGTTGTTGCCAAATGGGATGCAACGCTGCTTCAACTCCCTCTGCCAGTCATTCAGCAGGAGATTACGAAACTCCTGATTAAAGGGGCCAGAGTAAGAAAGGAACGCTGTGGCCAGAAGAATATCTCCTGCAACAGGAAAACCAGGATGTTATGAGATGTTTCCATACTAAAAAGGTTCCCAGAAGTTTTAAGAAAGTATCAGCAAAATGTAATGCTTTAAATTAAGTATTATTGATTAGAGTATTTTTCACAAATATCTGAAGGCAACAGTTTTTTCCTTCTTCTGAAGGATTTAATTTTCAAACTTACCCACAAGGCGTTTGGTTTGGGCAGCAAACTCTTTGCTCTGCTCGGTCCATCTCTCCTTCTCACCAGCAAGGCCGCTGATGAGACTGGAGGCTGTCTGCATTTTGTGTCTGCAGCGTTCAGCATCCTCCAGCAACGTCTGAGGACAAATGGGCACAACAAACAGCATGTGAGTCTTTAATGTAATGTTTGTCATTCCTTCTAAGCCCTTAAGTAACCAGCTCACCAATAATCATTTTAATTCCAGCTTTTTCTTTGGGCAAAGCAATGAATACCTATAATAGAGGTTTTCAAAAATGTGAGGTTGTCCTTTATGGGTGCCACAAACTGTTTTTGGTTTGGTTCAGTAATTGAGATGAGGACTTATTACCTGAATTAGGACTAACATGAATATTCATATGTCAAAAATACTGATAGAAAAAAAACAATAAAACATTAGTTTTATCATATCTGTTTTTATTCTTCCGTATGTATGTATGTATGTATGTATGTATGTATGTATGTATGTATGTATGTATGTGAAATGGTCTTGATATGCAAAAAAAGGTGTAGTGAGTTTGGTATACTTCTCTGGACTTTAGCTAAAGGTGAGACCTTGACCCACATTTTTTAACCATTGTATATATAAATCTATGGTGTATGCTCACGTAATCAGTTCCTTTGTGGCTTAAATTTTTCTTTATTCAGAGCACAAATAGCCCTTAATAAGTGTAATAGTAAAAAAAAAGATAAATTTATATGTATTCAGAACATGGTCAGTTTTGGCCAGGTCCTTCAATCCAAACAAAATCAAGATGGATGAATTTGAACTCCTATATGTGAACACACTAAGCTGATTTCAATCAAAGCTCAGAATATCTGCAGTCTGTTATTGACAGAAGAAGAAATGTTTAATTTTGTAAAAACAATGTTATGTTCATCGGGCTGCCCATAAGCCATCAAACAGAATACTCTCTTCATCCTCTGCTCACAGACGGTAATGAGGATGTCTGAGTTGACAGTAAAATACATGTTCCATAAATAAAGACAAATTTAAAAATGTCACAATTTGAGCCCCAAACAGATTTACAATGAGGCTGTGTATCTTCCTGCCACCCCCTAGAGATGAACAGTTCTGCGTCTTAATTACAAGATTATAAGAGTCAACTCAGGCATCCTAATCAGGAAGTCTTGATTCACATGTTGTTTCGTTTGTGTTTTTTTTTATCACAGAACAGAGACTGCTGGTGATTAAACAGACACCCACAATACACTCAGACACAGTTTAACTCATTCATATTACCACATCATTGATGTTTTGTTGCATCCATTATAAAGCAGCTTGGGGATAATTTGAGTAGTTTAGCGCCACGTTTCTTCCAGCATATCACAAGTCATCATGCCTCTTTAAGAAATATTCTAAATCCTAACATTTCAGTTTAAAAACTCCTTACTATTCTTTTGATCTCACTGATCATGCTGATGTTTCCCTAAGAAACAGCCCTCTTTGTCACCAGGGTTGAATCTTAAAATAAAAAAGGAAATCAAGGCACTAACCTTGGACAGATAGTATGAGGAACAACTACCAGTTCCAAACTTAACTCTAACATTTAGGTGAAGTGCTATGATGCATATTCACAGCTTATAAAACCTAACATTGTTTTTTAAGTGGCTAACAACATTATACTTTGACTGAGAGTCAAATAACCTACCTGTTTCTCCATCATGGCCTTCTCATAATCCGCCTGCACCACATCCAGCTCCGCCTGCTTGGCATCCAGTTCAGCCTGTGCTTTCTGAAGGTCCACGTTTGCAATAGTCAGTCGATTTTCCTGCACTGCAAGGTTAGCCTAAAACAGAAAATGTGCATGATGCAACATTTTGCACATGAAGGTCTGCTTTTGTCAGGGGCCACTAATAGGAAAAGGGTAAAGATTTAAAAACACGACTAAGAACACGAAATATTGAATAGACTTTTTTTCCAAAATCTAAATTCAACATTTAAGAGTGTTGGCATAGGCACATATTGATGGTTTGACTGATTACACACGAAGACAGATATAAGGGTGAAAATTAAATGCAGATAAAAAGTGATCTAAAGGTATCAGGTGGGGAGCTGGGAAATGAGGGGAAGTAATGACAGCTATACGATTATACTTTTTTGGCACCAAAGGAGGTTTGGAGATAGATAATTCAAGGGACGTCTTGAGGTTGTTTAAGTGTGTGTGCATCTGAGTCTGTTTGGGTGGTTTGGACAGAAGGGATTCTGACATGAGCATTTATTATTAATTGATGTCTGAGAGGGCCATCCACGGTTTACCTTCTGCCTGTCTCCTTTATGGCAGTCTGGCAGGCCAGCTTAAACGGAAGCCACCACTGAGCTGGAAACCAGAAAATCAATTTGCTAGACCTTGTTGCAGACTTAAGCAAAAGGTCAGGATAAGAGGCAAGGGGTTCTCTTGGAGGTTGTAGTAAATGTGATGAAAACAAAGTAAGTGTTTCTGTATGTGCAAGACAGAGAACCAGAGGCAAAATGAAGGCAGCCAGTTTCCATTATTCCCCAGTGAGAAGGGTGATAATGGAAACAAGGAGGGAAGGGGGAGGCACACCAGCATGGTAGAGGGCAAAATAAAGAAAGCGGATGGCTGCTGATGTGATAGCCTGAACAGTCCAAAAAGATAAATACACATTGTTAAAGCTTTGCAATGATTCTTATACACAGGACATCTAAACTACACAGTCACATGGGCAAGCAAAACAAAAATAATCATAACAAATGTCACGTGTCAGATAAAGTTTGATAAGGTTTGATATCCACACGTGATGAGAGCATAGACATGACAGGCATTTTGTTGACAGGATTTTCTGCATTACAGAGGAACTGCATGATCTCAAGGGTCTAAAGGGAAAGGAAAAACTGAAAAGGATTTCTTTTTACGCTACATTAGATTTAGTAAATGAGACAAAATATGTAGAAGGAAACAAACCCATGCTGTGTACATAGCTAAAAATCAAGGATTCAATGAGCTGCATCCTTTAAGGAAACGATGTACCAAGGCAGTCCATTTATTGGTAACAAAGATAACTCAAAAAGCCAAGTAACAATAATATCAACAAATCTAAAAAAGTAAACATGTATGCTGAGGGAAACTGAAAGATTTTTTCCCAAACCAAACCCAACCTATTTCTCTTTCCATCTCATAAGGAATAAGAACAGTCAGGCCAAAAAAAGCTAACAGTGCAGTTAAGGTTGATGTCTCACTCTTTATCAAAATGTCCAGAAACAAGTATAGTTTCCAAATTTGCAAGTATAGAAAGAGAGTTCTGTCATAGCGGCTCCAACTTTGAACAAGGTCTGGATATGTTTGATGAAACAGAATTGGCTATTTACTTTAGGGTGAAGACAGAGAATGTCACCCATGTTATAGCTCTGTCAGCAGGGAGAAACTCTTAGTCCTATACATTTTACTGAAATAAGAACAATTTAGTCATAATATGGGAAATTATATACTTTTGGCTTTGATCTTTTGTTCTTAGTAAATATTAAAAAAAACACTCCCTATGCCTGTTTTTTTCTTCTTTTTTTCTTTCTTTCAGGAAATCAATATTTTTTATGGAATGGTTCGTGTTAGTTCGTGATACACACCAGAGGTTGCTGAGGTGAGGTTGGATGTATGCACTGCTGTGTCAGGGTTTTAATTAATAAGCATGATTCTGAATTCTTACAGAACATGCTGGTGCATACTTTTCAGGAATATTTTAGTTTTAATCAACAAAACAACAACATAGTCATGAAAACCCTGAAAATTCTTTACGTTGGTCAAATTAATTTTTACTTTATTATTATAAGTGTTGTGAGGCCCTATTTTGTGTGCAAAACCGAGTGAAAGAAATTTTTGTTTGTGCCATCATTAAGTAGGGTTCTAATATTCTTCTTTCTTCTCTTCACTGCTAATGCCAACATTTGTGAGGATGAATCAATTATATATTTCTGTGCCATTTCTGAAGCCTGTTTTTTCTCCTCCACTATAACCATGGCTTATTCATCACAGTGGAAAATCCATATTAATACATTTTTCTGAGGAAATAACTATACGAAAAATTTGGAGGAAGACAATGACATCCGTTTTAAGAGCTCTTTTATGCATCCATTTCTTCGTCTTCTTTAGCAGTTTGTTTTTTGTTTTTAGTAAGCAGATACATTTCTGTCTCGCTACATTATGTATCCAACTGTGTGTTTACCTTTAAGGGAAGGACTTCCTTGTTGATGGAGAAGAAGGAGGCCATTGCTTTGGTCCAGGATGCAAGGCCAGCCACATTACCACAAACTCTCTTGGCTGTTTCAATGTTGTAATCAGACATTTCAAAGTAAGGCTGTAGTAGCTCTACCATTTCTTCATTAATGGTGTCTTTGGGGAATTGCTTCAAGAGAAAGAAAGACAAAAAAGGGAACAGGTTGAATTGAGGTTGAAATTAACTGATTATTTCCCGACTGCACATAAGACTACTAATGTGTATTTTAGTTACATCTTAGCATCTTTGTCATTTAGCCTACTAAATGACTAAGAATAATAGTCAATTATTGAAAAGTTATAAATGATTACTAAGAAATACATTGCTTGGGGAATTATATGGATCACACATACTCAGAGACCTCAGTGGAGATTTAAAAAACGAGGTACACGAGGATGTGTGTCATGTTTTCTAAGAAACAAATGGACAGATTTTTTTTAACAGAAGTACATTCGAAATCATTGTGCTTGGTGTGTTTGCATGTCATTTTCAGTGCTTAAGGAGTAAAACACTACGGTGCCACTATGAGCAGCATCACAGTAAAAAACAACCATTTGGAATGTGAACAGAGAAAATGAGCAAACTAAAGAAACAACATTTTGTTTGGAGCGACAGCCGTTTAATTCTGTTGGAACAGCGTGCAACAACTCCTGAAGGACAAATCATGTCATGAGAGCAGTTCTGGAGGACTTGTTATTTAATCTAAGCCAGCGGGTGAATCATCATCAGTTTGACACTACAACTTAATGATAAGGACATCTTTCATGGCCTGTTATTCTCGAGTAAGGTGGTGGAGCCGAGAAGCTGATGCATTTCTTTGATTTAAGGGAAGAAATTTTAAACTATGTAATGCCAAAGGGCTTTGTATGATGGATGTTCAATCATGTATATTGGAAACTACTAAATAATCTGGTCAAAGCCATGTAAATCCACAGCAAGATGGTCACACAGGGTGATAACAGCATACATGGCTTCCAAATTAAGCTGACTTTGTGGGAGACACCAGTGGTGATCCTACTTTTTCTGTGTGCTGCAGAACTGGCAGGTGACATAAACTGGTAAAAAGACAAAATAACAGGACTGCTATAGGAGTTGTCGTTTTCCTGTCTTAAATGAACAGAATTGACTTTTTTTGTTCCCTAGTCTCTCTGAGGATAACTAATCTGCTTGTGGGCATCCAGCTGGAGATTGATTGGCAGTGGAACACAGATTTGAAGGATAGCAATCCCCCTGTGAGCTTGGACACATTTAATCAGTCCCTCTAACAAGAGGCAACGTGGTGTCAGGAACTACTTAAACAGCAAGTAGCTGAAAAAGAAATACATTGAAAAATAAAAATCCTGATTTGGAGGATTCAGAGAATTCAAATCCAGATCATGTGTTCATGAAGTATGAATATAAAATGATATTCCAACCTTTTTAAGATGGCCCATGGACATATTCAGAATATGGGAACACAGAACAGGGTTTTCATGATTTATGTTTATGGCTAAAATGCTTGTGTATCAAATATAAACAGAGCCTCACAGGTTATGTTGTGTTTTTTCTCTACCACACAAAGTTTAGTGTCTTGCTCAAGGAAACTTTAATATGTCAGGGGAGATGACGGGGATCAAATTATCAACCTTAAGATGAATGCTCCTCCGACAGAGGTTCTGCAGCCTCATTTAATGAACATTTTGAAAATGTATTTTTCATGAAGGAATTTTATTTAGTTTGACTTCTGCTAATTATGTTCTTCCCTTCTTTGAGATCCTTTGAAAATAGGTTTGGCTCATGACTAATGCATGCACAAAGTCTCGAGTCAAGTGCAGTTAACAGCTAAATGAGTGGCTCTTAATCATGGGTTGTACAATTTATGTGAAAATGTCTTCTGCAGCATCTGAGTGAATGGAATAGTAAAGTGCACCTGCAAGCTGCCCAGGAAGTTTCCAGCTGTCATGAGTTTCAGGGACTCCTGCCAAGATGGAGTGTTGCAGTTCTTCTCTGGATCAATCTTCACAGTGTTGACTCGCCTTTGGAAGAGTAAAAGGACGCAATCCATGATCCGCATGATAAGGTGGGGAGGTCGGCCAAGTATTCGCACTGTGGCAATGTCTGACGGCTTGATAGTCTGTGTTGGTAAAGATGGAGAAAACACAAGAGAGTACATTTTTACTGTGTAATGTTTTGTCATGGTGGGGGATTGCTTGTTAGAAAATATAGAATGTAAGACAAGATTGTCAGTAAAGAAAAGCTGTCATAGTCAAGATTTCTGATTTTGCATGCTGTTAATGGTATCGCATTGTCATGATTCGTGGGTTTCTTCTGTTTGTTCTGTATTAAGCTCCACTGGTCTTTTGTCTATGCCAAATCACTGCCTTATTACTCACTACACCTTCCTCATGACCATTCATTGGCTTCCTGTTTACTTTTATTTGGGTTTTTATTCTTCAGTTTAGTTTATTGTTTTTTTTGTTACCCATTTGTTCAATAAGTCACCTGCTGGGTGGTCTGCATTTTGGGTCCCCCATCCTCCATCCACCCATGCGGTCTATCATCAGTTTTATGTTGCACTTACTCTTTGTACAAAGTGGTAAATCAGGAACATTTTGGGAGGATGGGGTAATTACTGTGCCCAATTTCAGTATACTAACAAAGACAGTCTACATCAAATGGCTATCAAATGGCAAGGAAGAAGGTCTGAGATGAGGACGAAGGATATGGTAACTAACACAAAATGTCACATGAGAACTTGAACCTAACACAAAACTCTGACAAAGTATCAAATCAAGTATCTTTACTAAACTGCAAGAACAAAAATGCTCTCAATCGAGGCCAACAACTAAGTATCAACATAAGATAACTCTGAAGAGGAAGACACCGATGACTAAACTCAAAATCATCCTAGTGAGGAATATCATATCACAAGGCAGACTTAGGCACAATATTATACGCTCGACAAGACCTGGAACTTGGCATTGGAAAATGGCTTGGCTGTCTGATGTGACGACAAGACAAACCAGCACAGGACAAAGGGTAAATGCTGACTATTTATACACAACACACGGGATGGGGAACAGGTGAAACACATCGGGGTGGAACAGCCAATCAGACACAAAAGGAAAGATAAGTGACCTGAAACGAGAGGAAGGTTGAGTATCAAAATAAAACAGGATGTCACAAGAGAACATGAACACGAAACATAACTAAACGTTGAACTGACATGATCTTGTAGATATTACACAATTTCAGAAATTTAAAGGCAAAAAAATTCAAGATAAAGAATAATATATCTTTTTTAAACCTTAATTTACATTCTAATAAAAAGACAGGATTTCACTGATGAGCATATGAATAAAACATGAGCATGATTAAAAGCTTTAATCGTGATTACATCTTTGACAAAGTAAGAACGGTCTCTGTTGTGTAAGTATAAACTAAGCCAGACTGTTATACTGCAACACTCTTGATGATTTCTTGTAAACACACAAGCCATAAATGATTCCAGGCAGGCAAAACATCAAAAAGTGAACATCAAAATATCTAAAAGAACATAGCCTCTACCAAATCTGAAAAAATATTTTCAGGAAAGGACCACTCGCATATCCTTAAATCACTTGTTAAACGAATGAGTTCCAGAGTTTTCTGTGTGTAGCATCAAGAGCATTGACAGAGCAGTCAAAGGAGATGTAGCCAGCATTTACCCAGCAGGATAGTTTTAATTACAATGCAGCTCCAGGCCTCAGGACCAGAATCCTGACTGCACACACCATGACAGAGAAGCTAAAGGCAAAACATTTGCAGAGCTCCACTCAGCACAACAGGTCACAGAGGACTGCAACCGGTACCATGAAGCCTTACAACAAAGCACTGTCAATAGCAGATAACCATTATTCTTTGAGACCTAACGATACAACTTATGTGATAATATGCCAAAACAATGTTTTGCCTTCTCCGAGGGGAAAAAATAACTTGCAAAATTCTTCATTTCTGTCATCGGGGAAAGTCTGTGACTATTAGAGAAAGAACACAGATAAGTCTGCTAATTTTTAATGACTACTGCTGAACAATTAGACAGCTGCACAAAGACACCTGAATGTGAGTGAAATAGTCTGACAACATAATGATGCCATAGAGACCATCTCTGCTGAGAGGTTTTTTTAGTTTACAACAAGTGAAAACATACAAGGATATGCAGAAAAACCTGCCAGCTAAATATTCATAATTCATTTAAATAAAGGATTTAATGACTGGAACACAGTGTGAGAGATAGAGGTCCAAATGTTTTTTCTCATCCTTTACACTGGCATGATGTAACCTGATGTCATATATTTTAATCACTGAGTTCAATTCTGTTTGGGTTATTAAGTACTGCTTTGAACCTTACTAGTTTTAAACTGCTCAAAAGAAATCTTGTCAGTGCACACATTTAAGATGTTTTGCTCCCTCAGGCACAATGGTCATTTGCATAAAAATACCTAAATAGACACAATAATAGATTAATAAATGATTTATATAATTGGGGTCTTATTTAGATAATTGATTGTATCATACAAAAACCTCAGAATCCTCTGTTTCTATGATGTTCAGTTGATCTCACACACAAAAGGGAATTGCTGTGTCTTCTAAGATTCTATCTGAACTTTCAGATTGATCTTATCTCAGATAGTGGATGAGTACAGATAGACATTGTATTGGATGAACCCAACAGTTGCAAAAATATCCATAAGATAACAATTTAATCCCGTCTTATCTGATAAATACATGACTTGTCTACACAGCATCTGAGAAGAGAGAAGGCTGTTAGCTGATTTGAGGTATTACTTTCTGTATTGTTTTCTTCACTGTTGTGTGAAAATACAACTGCAGACAACTACCAAAACTTTGCTCCCACGCAATTTGACTGTCTCATTAACAGTGCTACAGCCTCAGAGTGAAAAGTTGCCCCTGTAAAAATGGAGAAAATTAGCCAGAAGAGGCTGGCTCCTTGGTATAATGAAAAGCTGCATGCTGTAAAGAGAATCCTGAGAAAGCTTGAAAAAAAAGTGTGTTCCAGTAACTTGGCATTCTCAGTTAGTCTTGAAAGATAATGCTGTTTAATAATGTATAAAGGGAACCCCTTCGAAAGACAGAAATGTTCATTATTTATTATTGAAGAGAATGATGATCTTTTAACTACTGTGACAGGCTGATTACGAGTCAAATATGTGTTGATATACTTCTTTAACTCCACATGACAGCTGCATAACAATTGCTTCTGTTTGTAAGTGCCATACTTGCAGTGCAGCCTCTGCCTCCTCCAATGCCGGCCGAGCAGCTTCCAGTTTCTCCTCAGCAATGGCCTTGTCGGCTGAAATACTGTCTACAATAGCCTGGGCCTTGTCCTTCACTTTCTGTACCTCTACCTTCACCCGCTCCGCTGCCTGGGCTTTGACAGTCACTTCTTTCAGCACCTGGGAAGAAAGTCAGACACAACCATGAAGCACTACTATTATCATTACCAATATTGTAGGAAGCAATCTGGGATCACAGCTGCATGATCTTAAATAGAAATGTACTCAAAGAAGACAGTAAAGAGATATACAGCATGGGAGCCATGTGAACATGAGCACAAAGAATAATTGAGAAATCTAGGTTCAAACGACTGCAATGAGGTTTATAAATATACACTTTTACACCTATATTAGAGTGACTCATACACAGCCAGAAAAGTCACACTGGAAAAAAAAAATGAATACCTCCATTAAAGTATACACTGTGGAAATTAATATGCAAAACATTACAGTACATCAAACTAATTGTAAAACTAATAACATGAAACCAATCTATCTGCATGTATACATACTGGGAATTTAAACGTAATGAAATAAAAAACATTTTCAATATCACTATGATTTTGTTTTATTATATACAGCAATAAATGTTTCTATTTTTGCAATGGAGATTATAACAAGCTAATCATGAACTGGAATCATTAACTTCTAGAAAGTTCATGCACCTAATGTGATGCATCATGAGTCTAAGACAAAGAGACCCAAGCAGACCTGTGATAACAACAAAAACAAGTAAAAAACTAAAAGTGTGCCTACCATGTCAGCTTTGTAATTAGCAACCTGCAGTTCCTTCTCTTTCACCTCCAGCTCTTTGCTGAGAGCTGCGACCGACTCAGATGCCTCCTTCAGCTTTTGTAGACCAGTGTTCATCCTAAACAGGAAAAATATCAAACACATTCAGTCTGGCCATGTGTAAATCACCACACCAGTACTTTACTGCTACTCTACTATTCGTCTATCTTTAATGCATTTTAAAGCTACCAAGTGGATATAATAAAAGAGTTTTACACAGACCTATTCTATTTGAGCTGCCTGTTGGTGTCATGTGTCAAATCAAATATTGTAATGTCATTATCATGAAAAGACTGCCCTCAGATCTGAGATGAATTCCCCTGCTGTAATTCTGGACCGTCTAAGTAGAAAATCATATATGGTTTTGGACAAACCTTTTGTCAGTGGCTAATTTCCCAGGAATTAGTCCAGTTTATTTGTCATCAGTTACCACATTTTTGCCAAAGGCACATTAGTATATCTAAAATACAGGGCTAAAAATTCCATATGACACTGTGACAAATATTAGTTTCCCTTTAAAGCTGTTTACCTGTTGGCCAGTGTCTGGACTTCAGACCGTTTTTCCTTATAGATGTTCTTGTATCCCTGGATGAAGGAAAGGTAGGACTTGGGTGTGACATGGGTGGAACGTCTGTATCTAGATGTAATTTAGATTAGATTTGGTTAATCTCATGACACATTACAATTCTGAGCATTCATTATGCCTTTCATGTAATCAAGACAACCTTAGATACATTTTTCATTTAAATATTGTGTGCAACTTAATCTTATGTGGAAGGATTTCTAGATCAACTAAGGGCATACAATGAAAGCAAAATTTCATCCTGTACCTTTGGAAGTATTCTACACACTTCTCTGCAACACCGTCCTGGAAGGAGCCCATGCACTGGACCACCTCTCTCTTGACCTGGGCCGAGCAGTCTATGTCGTACAGAGATAAGAAGTGCTCTGATACTAAACAACAAGAAAAATGTGGAAATAGAAGAGTTGTATTAAAACACAGAAAGTAGACATAAACAAACTACAAATTTTATGACAATAATGAATATATAAAATAATTTCCTCCTTTTAATTTTGTCACTGGCAGACTAATTGACTGATTTCCAGCAAAAATGATGATGATGAAATACTGACTTTTGCGCATCTACTGTAACACCTGAGTGAGACTCCTAACTAAATCAACAAAATACATTCAGGAACTGACGATGGAAGCAAAGGGATAAGAATCACTGGCTAAAAGAAATCAGCTGGGCAGGAAGAGACTGTTTTATCTCGTCAAGCAACACAGATTTACAGCAATTGACAATTTTTTAAATGCCTGTAACTTGAGCCGCCTTTGCGTGTTAAAGGTTTAGGAAAAAGTGACCAGCTGGTGTGATCGTGTGCAGGATTTATTGTTGGAAAACCTCAGATTTTATGTTTCAAAAGTACATGGGAACTTTCTTTACAAACAGCATGATAATTCACAGGCCATTTTTGAAAATCTAGTACAGCAATACAGGATATAAATATTGGGAACAAACACTGCTGATGGAGTTGGGGTCACAACAACATAAAACTAAAACCACCAATGAGATGTACCTGCCACAAGTGCGTCTTTTGGCCAGCGGCTGAACCAGTCCATAGTGCAACCAGATATCAGTGCTGGAAACTTCAGAGCCCGATTACGGAACTTTTCCCCAACAGGAGAAAAGCACAGAACCACGTGGAGATTATGTCGGACTCGTGACATGAAGTACTCGTACAGGTTTTCATTGGTGGGTGGTCGCTTGGGAAACTCGCGTCGCATGACTGGGATGAGGTCACTGAGGATCTCATCAATCTCATCACGGGCAAATAAGCTGGACACCTGAAGACAGAAAAATCAAACTTCACTTGCATTTACTTCACTTGCAAAACTGTAATGCTGTCATAAATATATTGTTTTGTATTACTTTATGGATGTATATTTAAAAGGGTAAACATTACCCCCCCCCCTTTTTATTTAGAGCTGAATACTACTTCAAATAAATATTCAGTAATTCTGACCCATTAGGCAGCATTTCACTTCAGAAAAGCACCTTTAGCTTTAGCAGATTTATTCAAATATTGAATTCTGTTTTTCTTTTTGTTTTGTCGTTTCTTTTTTTTCCTAAAGATTGTATTACCAAGGAGGAGAGCTGGTAACTCAGAGGGGATTAGGTGTCTTGAAGAACATGTGGTGTTGTGTTAGGCAGTGTCTAACCATCTGCTAATTTACTCAAAAACACCACATGAGCTGCTCGGTCCTCCATTTTGTTTCTCATCTCTCACCTACGTCTCTGTCTGTCACTCAGTTATCCCAGCACTGCTGCAGCACAACACATCCACATGCACACAATGTGGCACAGAAACCTCCACCTCTACAAATAGCACTCAAAGAACAACACCACTCTTCCCTTGTTCCCAACATAACTTGCCTGCCCTTGTAAAAGCATCATCTGTTTAAATTGTTATCCACAGAGGAGAGGAAAGGTGAAGAGCCAAGAGAAAAGGAGTAAAACAGGGAGCATATCAATTCCACCAAGACGAGGCCAAGAGCCAACAAAGGTAAGTAAAATAAGCAAGAGATAGTTGGACAAGAAGCAAAGATATTTGAAAAAAAGAAATAATTCAGAGATGAGAAATAGAAAATGGGGGGTTAAATCCTTTTCATATCTGTTTTTCAGACCTCTCCTGATGACAGAAGGTTATTCATGTACTCCAGGAAGGACTCTTCTTTAACTTCGTTGTCAGTAAAGATGAAGCTGACACCCTTTCCATGTTGGCCAGCAGTTCTGTATAGACTTTTAAGGTCATCCATCAGGTTAGCTGTGTTGTATGAGCTGGAAAAGAACAGAACACTCTTATTTCTTACAGTTTAATGAAAGTCTCTCAGATGGATTGATCCACAAGGCCCCTTCTATTTAATTTTGTTCAAACTATTATGAAGCGAAACCAAAACAAGTGCCAACAGCCTTAAACAGAGACATAACTCTTTATAGGTGAACAAATACCACCAAATTTCACTGGAATTTTCAAGCTGTGGAGGTTTTTGAAAGTGGAAATGTACATGTGAGTGAGCAGAAATATATCTGACCTAAAAAAGTAGTGACAAGCATCTTACGTTCAATGTTTGAACCTTGGGAGGGATCCACACATCAACTGGGAGAACAAGCAAACTATACACATAAAGGCTCCTGGTCTCTTTGCGATTGAAGCCAGCAAACATATTGCTATGAGGGTCACAGTGATAAACACCCCACCACTGTGGCAACCGCCATATCAACCAATTTACTATAAAAACAAAATTATACAAGAAAGATCAGATTTATTCTATAAAGGTCTTTATATCTCTTAGAGATACGCATTGTATTGAGGAATTACATGTTCTAAAATACAATAACTGTGGGGCATTGACCAGCTAGCTGTATAAGATAAATACAGCTAATACGGCTTCAAACAGATTTCAGGTGGTTGCAACATTCTCAGTGGATATCTGAACGCCGGACAAATAGAGGATGAATACCATAAAAAGTATTTATTTTAGATTGACTACATTTTCTAAACTGCAGCTGAGGCTGTGTGTACCATGCATGCAAAACATCATGCTCTTATAGTAGAAATAAGGCTCCTCAATGCGACTAGTCGCTCAATGTATTTGCTGACAGACATGTGCACAGTTCCAAGCTATGTACTGTGCACCATCACCTTCATCTCATTCAGCAGACAGGGACAGGACTGGCAACTTAAGGCAGAAACACTTTCAATGAACCTTGTTGATAAAGTTTACACTGGAGGATTATTTTTCATGTTTGTAAAATGGATTTGGAGAAGTGGGTTCAGAATGCTGTACTTAAAGTGTTCAATTGCCAGAGTTTTAAGGCATGAACCACAAACAAGAGGTGTAAAGACAATGCATGCATATCATTCATGGACTTAAAGGCCACCAAGATCAAAGAAATGTCACCTTGTGCCAATAATGTTCAGCTGCCTGTTAAAGTGGTTCAAAAGGAGGGTGAAAAAAAGGTTCTCAAAAGCAACAACCAAATCCCTCCAAAGAACAAATCGTTTGGGGAATAGGCAATAGTTTAGGTGCCTCTTTCTTAATTCTTCAAATAAATTGAAGCTGCCCAACTGATTTCACTTAAAAAACAAGTTAAGGGGAAACACACAATTACATTAGAGATGCTATTTTCTTGCTCAGGGAGAAATTTCTGGAAAGGACAGACAGCTGAAACTGAACACTGAGTGCTAGGTAACAGTGGATACTGCATGTCGTGCCTCAGAGCAAACAGATTCACTTCAGTATGCTCCAATTGTTCCCAAATCTGACCAATTATGGTCAAGGTCAACACCCATTCCGCTGTTTTTGTGAGAACTGGATCTCAACACAAGACGCTAATCTGAACATTCAGCCATCGACATTGGCTCATCCCACAGAGATTATTCCACAGCACAATCAGTACAGGAGCCAAGGGAACTGATAACAGGCTGGGTGTGTTACAGCCTACGGCATGCCTTACAGCATCTGTGCTTGCAGCTTTTGGAATCCCCCCTGCTTAACAGTGGGATGCAGCATGGAATGCAAACCCATTAAGTTGAGCAGCTAAAGAGAGAAAAATATATTCCGAGCAATAATCCTCCACCTCGTCTACTTACTTTTGCAAAATAATAACAGACAGTAAACAATCGTAGCCCTGAGTGACACAATGAAACAAGTATTTTAAATGAGAATTCAACTTGAGCTTGTTTTGTTTTTTCAATAAGAAAAACTGATCATATATATGAACATGTGATATATAAGATACACACAAGAAATGGAGGTCTGACTCTAAACAAGAAAATTGGATCCTGACTGATGAGGGATATACATTTTTGACAGCTAAATCCATAACATAAGATATTGGAACAGACTAAGGGTACAACAAAGAACTAACTGCCACTTTTTATGCTGCCACTTCTTAAATTCCAGGCAATAGCTGTCTCTACATATTTTTCTTCTATTCTAAATAAAATGTTTTCATTACAACAAAATCAAACTCGAAAGGGTTTCCTCTGTTACAAAGCAAAAATACTTTGATAACTACAAAATAGTTATTTTTCATGTCTACTAAATTAAATAGCAGCAAATAATCCTCTACAACTAGTGATTCTATCCCTTACCAGGGGTTGTAGTAACTACATAAAATACTACTCTCCATGTGACCTTGCATCTTTTTAAATTAGTGACTCACAAAGCAAACTTTCTGTAAATATTGTTTAGTGTTCTTTCCCCAGGTGCAGAGATAGTGTGGAGTCATGGTGAGATACAGTTTGATGTATTTAGCTTGTGCAGGACCCTGATAAAAATATGAACAGGAGGAAAGCAGCTTTTAGCACTTCACTTGCTTGGGTTTGTCATTCAAGTTGGCAAATTTGAGCCAGTTTGTAAAAGACTAAATAATCTGCTGTGCAAGTATTGTGAACACTGTCTGAACATTGTATTTGTCAAAATAATGTTAATTTATGGAGAAAGTGTACACAGTAATCAGATTAAAAATTAGAGTTATCAAAGACTTGGACAAAAAATGATAATCAGATGCCTTCAATGAATGCTGCAGCTTGTCAAGGGAAATGAAAGAAAATGTTCAGATAAGACTTTTAATCTTATGTTGTATAGTAGTTGTTTGAGAGGTTTTGTGGAAAAGAATACAATTGACTTTCCCTGTAAAAGATACTTCCCTGTATTGTATTTTTAGGTAAGGCTCAAATAAGTGTTTATTTGTAAGGGAGAAAAGTAAGGAGTAGTTGAAAAAGAAAAGAAGGCAATAATAGATATGGCCATTTTTCTCAAAATAACGTTGTGAGACCAAGAGGAAAAACACAAGGCTCATTCATATTAATAGCAAGTACTGAAATCTATTAGGGGCCTCTCCAATGGGAAATATGATGGCCACAAGTGCACATGGGGACTGGGGGAGAAAAACATTTGCGAGGATGAAAGGCCAGAGTGAGACAGAGAACAGTGGAACAGACAGCACTGTACAGAGCAGACAGAGAAAAAAGTTAAGCTCCAGAAGAAAAAGATAAAGATATGTCTATGAAAGAATCTTCTTCACAAAATTCAGATTCAGAAAAGTTACAAAATATTGTGCCATAACAGAGTTGGAGGTTGATAATACTGTTGAACTCTTTTTTTATTATCATTGTGAACCTGGGCCGTAAATAATTCAACATTACCGTGTTAGAGTGATTTGGAAGATCTTGTATCCTGCAATAAATGAGGCCAGTCTGGTCAGGCTCTGCTTGCCAGAGCCCCCAACACCCACCAACAAGGCATTGCCTCCAGGTGTGCGGATTATTCTGGACACCTGCACACATAAAATCCAACATTACAGCATGCAAAACAAAATACGATTAAGGATGATGTAGCATTTAGGGTGTGAGAAAAAGCATCAATGGAGACCTTTAGGTCAACTGTGTATAAATGATCAGCAACTGCGCATGTTAAGGTGAAGATCTGACTGTGCCGGATAAGCTAACCCTGTAATGCCAAATGTATTATATTTGATACATACAGCTTCTGAAATGTTTTGCGTCTGACACCTTTTGCATAATTTAATGGTAACAACTTTGCTCAAAATCCTTTTGTAAACAATATATACAGATATACCTGATAACAGGGCGCAGAAGACTACACAGAAAATCTTGACTTATCGCATAGTAATAAATTATTAATATAAAAAATGTATTTCTGTTCATTCTTTTTACATATTTTGTTAAAAAGGACAAATAAAGACTTCAAACCAAAAAAAAGTAATTTTCTGTTTTGTTTTATTCTTGGATCGGGCTTTAAAGGGTTAGAAAATAGATTAAAGATATTCCGCCAAGCCATTTCGGTGTCATATATTTAAAGCAAAATGTTGCTAATATAAAAAATACTTTAAATTAATTGTTTCTGGCTCCGCAATGAAAAAGGACATTAGTACCTTGACCAGATGAATCATTGCATCCTGAAAGAAGACCATATCCATGCCAGTGCCCCTGACACTCTCATTGTAATGGGACAGGAACATGTTGAGACGGTCCTTTAAGCTCTCGAAGGATTCGATTGGCTCGTACACCTTGGGCAAATCAAAGTCTGAATCTTCTGGCTCTTCTCCTATGAGGGAAGTAGCTTCACTTTTAAAAGACCCATATCAAAAATCAAAGAAAAAAGTAAAGTTCTGGTATCTTTTGTTAAGTATTATTGTTTTACTGGTACCTGTAGCTTCTGGGGCATCTCGTAAGAAGTCAACAAAGTATCTCTCTACCCCATAGTCCACTAAACTCTTGTACTCCTCCCCAAGCTCCATTTCCACAAGGTCTGTCAGTGCTTTGTCAAACCACACCACGTCATCAGGCATTGTGAACCTATCCGCTATCACACGGGTGCATTCATGCTTCCACAGTGCCAGCAGCACCTAAGAAACAAAACAGATTTTTTTTTTAAGTTAAAAAAACAATAGTAATTGTGGATAAAGATCAACTAAATGCATTGATTCCAACATGGAAAAAAACACAGCTAATTTTGCAAATATTAGGGGATTATTGTACTAGTTTCAGGAGGACGTTAAGACTAACATGTTTAACTGACCCTAAGTTTTTATTATGTAGTCTAGATTCATCTGAACTGTCTCGGCAGCTATGGCAGGAAAGATTTGTCTGTTCACCAAGATTTAGTACAGCCTGGGGAAGAGGGCATATTTAATTTCATTCATTTATTCAGCAGAGTCACCAGCAATGTGGAGTGCACTACCTCACTGAGAGCTCAATTTAAACCGTATCATTTTTGGATGCTCTTTTCCTGTATGCATGCTGAAGACTTGTTATTTCTGACTGACTTATGTATTTTTGAATCTTCAAAAGATTAAGATTCTGCCTGAATGTTACAGATTTGTGTTTTTAGATTTTGTTTCATCATTAAGGCTGACTTTGTCTTATTAGATTGTCTCATATGTTTGTTTTTCTTTTCATTACCCTGTGTTCTTCATTCCCTGTAGATTGAATGTATTACTGTAGTGCTGCTTACTGGTATTTAGGTACTTTCCTTTCCTTTTATGTACCCCATGTCAGCCTTGTAGATATTAAATGTATTCACTCACTTGGACAGAATCAACCACCTCAGCATTGGTGCTGAGCATGCCTTGCCACACCCTGGACAGATCTCTCAGGTTGAAGATGTAATGGAAGTTTGCGGGTGTTGGAAGCATCTTGAGCTTGGTCAGCTGCCAGAGTTGGCGGGTTAGAGACACCAAGTGATGCACAGTGCTGCGAACCTCCACACTGAAACCCCGGCGTTCACAAAAGTGGCCTTTGCCAATAACACCTGGGTGAATACATTAAATAATCTGATTAATAATGCATTTTTACTAGTAGCAACTTATAACAAATGTATCTGAAATTAACTCATGAGGAAAATCCATCAGGTAATTACAGTACTAAAACATATAAAAGTTGACAATATACTTGACAATACTTTTCAATATTATTGTTATTTCCAGAGTATTAGTATTAGTATTAAATGTATTTCAATGAAATGACAAGGTCACAAACCCACCAAAAATCTTATCAATGGAGGCATTGGAGGGCAGAGTGCAGTTAAAGATTGAAAACTGCCTTTTAAGTCTCTGTGGAATGTCATTCCGGCCTCCTCCTGGATGAATCATGGCTGCCAGGAACTGAACATCAACAATATTGGTGAACTCCCCTGGTTTCTCCAGATTGAAAAACCCATTTTGCTCCATCAGCTGCCTGACAATCTCATTAGTCACCTAAGATGAAAGGCAGAAATAACCAATAGTGTACATCACATTGATCACACTATGAAAAATAGTCAGTATTATGGATTTTTAAGAGACTATTCATGATAATAAAAAACAAAGAACAGAGGAAGAAATATATTGATCCCAAACCTGGTCTCCCCATTCATTTATGACAGGCATGTTGATATCGTCTATAAAAATGGACATTTTCTTCCCAGCAGGGGGACCATAAGTGGTCCCCATCCTCTTATCCACGTAGCTCTCGACAGTTCTCTAAAATAAAAAAAGCACACGATGAAGGAAAAGATCATAAATGATCAACATAAAAAAGATCAATTTCTGAAGTCCTGTCGAGACACACTACTGTGATGCTTTGGTAATGAGCAGGCAACGGGCACTTGAGTACACTATAACTTAAAATATGTTATAGAGTTTGTTGAGTATCAAGCAAACACATGAAGGATAACGTAGTACCCAGTTCCAAGTCAACGAAGATTAGAAACTTTGACAGTATGTCCTGTTGTACCTGGAACATGAGTGGTGTGGTAGCAGAGGAGAAATTCAGACTCTTGCCCATGTGGGTCTCCGAGTCATACTTTGACATATAACCCTTGATCATGACAGTTTTAGCTGTTCCTTGTTCTCCAATCAGCAAAACAGCCTAAGACAAATACAAAAAGCACAATTTTAATCTTTAATTATGTATTTATCATCTGATCCAGCCCTAAACTAATCTTAATTTTTATGGATATCCTGCATCCCCTGAATAGAAAGACTTTTAAACTCTGGTTTGAAGAGCTGCTAAAAGAGTAAAGAGTGCACCACCAATGAAGTTATCCAAAGATCTTACATAAGAGATAAATAAGTGAGATAAATAGGATACCATTGTCAAACAGCAATTTGTTTCAGAAGAATAAAAGCTCCAGCAGCTTAGAATAGTTCAATACAATGATTATCATCATTATCACTTTTTACTGATCCTTCTATATTATATATTTTTTTTTTGCAAAAGACAAGTTTCAACATGGATGATAACATAAGAACTAAAATTGCAAATATTCACTTAAAAGAAAAACATAATTTTTTATTGTGAGAGTAAAATGGATTCATGAATCAACCTTAAAAAAAACAGTAAAGAATTCCTTATTATTTAGTATAAAACAGGCTTGACTATATCTATTTTAGTCTAGACAACTGTATGTTTGCCTGGTCGATTTATAGAGCTGTAACTAAGTAACTAATAACCATTATATTAATCTGATGACACTTTATTGGGCAAAACAGTTTGTGAATTTACCTTGCCCTGCTTGGCGATGGTCTGAATTAGGAAGTCTGTTCTCACATTATCCACATTGGGGACCAGGATGGAGCTGTATTCTGGGGTGAAGTCAAATGGATAGACATATTCCTCAACCCTGGTGCGCCAATGGATCCAGCGCCCTGAAACAAAAGTAAATTAATCCAAAGCAAAACGCTTAAAAGTAATTATTCAACAACTGGATATAAAACTAAAATCAAAATTGAATCGACACAGTAAAAATGTAATTACATTAAAAATGAAGTGCAACTTCAGCAATATTTCTCCCGGTAAAGACAAAGGGTCTATATTTTTGCAACTGATTATGAAAACATATTCACCATCTGTCGTGACATAGTAGTCAAACATTGTGTCCTCGCTGTCAGGAGGAATGTCTGGCAAATTAAGGCAGACACTCTCATTTGCTCTGAGCCAGAACTCCATCTTCCTCCGATCTTCCAACTCAAGTAAGGCACCTGTGCTCCACATGAGGGCAAAGACATAGAGTCGCTCCAGGTGCTCTGTGGATAACTCACCACTCTGCTCCTGTAGAGTGAGATACATGTCATATGAGGTATCTGACGATTGATGTACCAAACCAAAATGTAGACGAAAGGAAAAGGTTATAGATTATGGAAAACATGGGATAATAAACATTTTTGCTCTCACATTTGGTTTAATATTTGATGGATTCAGTGACTGTAAGGTGACATAGCCCTAATCCCAAATTATCACCCCCTTGACTGCCACTGTGGTATAGGCACTATATTTGAAGTCCAGGGTTTGTTCAGAGGCCATTTTGGGAAAAACTGTTATTGTTTAAAAAAATTTAAAAAATAAAAAACACTTTCTCCTGTTAACCCTTCAAAAACAAGCCATACTTATTTTTCCAACCTTTTGTAATATTTATTTGGGTAAATGATAGATTACAAACAGTTTGGAAATAGCCGTCCTTGGCTGCAGCAATTGCTCAGCTCTAGAAGAGCAGACTTATAAAATTGATCGAGAGCATTTGATCAGCAGTGCCAGGCAGTTACTTGCCCTCTAAGGATCGGTTCACTCCAGCAGCAGTGTCTGTTTTGCTAGGTGTGCTTCAACACCCACCCCCCTCTTTCTGTGGCACACAGTGAAACTACTGTTGCACAAGCGTCTTTAACACTGAGATCCCTCTGGTTATGGTCACAGGAGTGTTAGTACTCACATGAGGTCATTATGTATTTAATTTCTGTCTCACTTAAAACTGCATCTCTCACCTCTTGCATGAAACAAAGGCATGACACCAAAGCTCATGATGTATGCAGGCTGATATTCTCCACTGTTAACATGAGAGCCCAAATGGAAATCGTAAAATTCCGCACATGCACTGTATCTCTGTTGTGTCTGTTTTTTTTATTTGTTTGTTTTGTTTTTTTAAAGAGACAATGACAAGTCATATTGATTTTCTTAACCAAATTATAAAGGATACAATTCGTGGTCGGTTGAAATAATCTTTCCATCGGCATATAACTGATTAATAGTAATGATGAGCGCGGAGAAAATCTTTTAAATAGATGAGAAGATTCATGTCAGCAGGATGACATTTCACTTTAAAACAATGTTAAATTATTTTTATTTATTGTGAACGAGATGAAGACGCCACAGACATAACCATAAATCTCTGAGTGGTTACTACACTCCATGAAATACAGCATATTCAGCAGACTCAATCACTTTATTTTCTATTCTAGGCTTTATTTACCCATTTTAGAGTACTTCGTTGGTTGGAATGAACAAAACCATGTTTTAGAGCCTGTACAGAAAAGGTGAGGATATCTGTGACTTTCACTGCAGGAATTAAGTCATACACCTACATTAAGTATTTAATGTATGTCACAGCTGTTTAAATAGTCTTCAGAATCTGTCTATTCATTCACCAAGTTTCCCCCAATCTTGATCCTGCATGTTTTACACATTCTCTCGAATAAATTTACCAGGTCAATATCAAGTTTCTTTAGATTACGACACAAATTCAAACCATTCACACAAATATCAGCTAAAACCAGCAGGACCAAAAATGCTCCAGAAAGGGTTTTAGAAAAAGTGTTTGGAAGCAACAGTTGCCAAAATATTTCTTATATATTTATCTAATTTATCTTAACAGGATCATTCACCAGAGCAGGTTGTGTGATAAGGAGGGATAGCGCTTGAGGCTTTTCAGGTTTAAGCAGAAATATTATATGAGCTTTAGGTCAGGACTCAGGCTTTCACCCCCCATATGTTTCAGTTTTTTCCAAGCACACCGAGTTATGAATTCAAAACAGTAAGGGCAGTTTAAAAATATTAATTCTATTTCCTTACTTCTACTTTAACTAGTTCCCCAATCCCCATTCATTCCTACAAAAGGTTAATTGGGGAGATCCTTAGTTGGTAAAGTTCTCCACACATGCCAGTGGGCATTCTAGTCCAATCAAATCTGAGGATTTTATCAGAGCACGTTGGCAAATTCTGTGATCTTTTGGATGGTTACTTCTTTAAATTTTCTTATACATCACTCAAATCTGTGACTTCGCACAATTTCTTTTCCATTTCATTAGTACTAGAGCAGTCCTTCGTTCTGGCAGTGAGACTGAAGTCCTTTATGAAGTACAATGTGGCCCACGGAGGAGCTGTCTGTTCCCATTTATTGGAAATTCAAGGAAACAGCAACTTTACCTTTGGTGGAATGAGTCCCTGCAGCATATTAATACACTGCATGATGACAAAGGCCTCTAGCATGTCCATCTTGAACTCTAATGACTGCACACTGAAGCGATACAGCTCAGAGAAGGAGGAACAGAATAGTTGTCTCAGTATTTCTGCCTCCTGGGAGGAGCGCTTCTTCAACCAACCCTGAGAGGGTCAAGCACATCACTGTAGTAAGCTGAAATTTAAGTTTCTTTTCAACAATATCTCCAACAACATTTACATAAGTTGTTGGAAATAAAAAAAAAATATTTACATAGCAGAAATGTCAAATAATGGTTTTCAGGAATTAACATTTCTCAACTTAATGTTGAAACTGTATGTCATTTTGCATATTTACCTCTAATATAGGGCTCCAACTGAGCACAGAGGAGCTCATGAACACCATTCCATTGCGTGACACAGTTGCCGGTGAAGCGTTGTCAATGTTGTGTGGCTCAAAAACCACCTTACAGTTGGGGGCCATTGGTATGCGGTCCCCGTTTGCTAGTGTGAGGGTTCTGTTGTCATCTAATACAGAGTTTAGGTTTTCAATCCAGATGGCATCAACAGGTCCATCCAGCACTATCCAAATGTTCTCTCCTGAAAGAGAAAACAGACTTCATTTGTATAAAAATGGCACATCACAAAGGCTTAAAGCTCCAAGACAACATCTGGAATGGGTTGTCCGTGAATATGCATTTTGAACAAACTAGAATGCAGATTTTTTCTTTGTTCTCATCTCTTTCCTTTGCCTGTAACTTTGGCATTTAATACTACATCCTCTTCTCAAATAACCAAAAACACTCAACCAAAAGAAAGTGTTCACAATTTATTCTGATACAAAGTCCATGTTTCCTGTCAAATTAATGCAATGCACTTACTGCTCATTAACGACTTTGCTTCGCACGGCCATAATATTAGTACGCTTGTTTGGTGCATTGAAAATATTTTGCTTCTCTTTCTAGTAATTGACTTGAATATTCTGGTCATCAGCCAACAGATGTATTCATATTATGATGGTTTGAATTTACATACACAGAAGCCAACAGTAGCTTTTTATGCAGAGGTCAAATGAAATGAGTCTGCTGTTAATGAATCTTATGAATTACAATGTCTGCACAGCTTTGTTTCAATGGGCTTTCCTTTCTTTCTTGAACACAGTTGTCATGAGTTACAGTCCAGCACAAGTAAACAGGACAAAGAAAAAAAAGGAGTGATAAATATATTCAAAATAAGATATTCAAATGTATGCAACACTGAAGCAGAACAGGTGATGTACATTAGACATGTTGACATATTCATACTGTCGAAGACAAACATTTTAAATTGTAAGTGAGAGTTTGGGACTCAAAATAAACATTAAACATAAGATTGTGTTTGGTATTTAAATGATGAGGGGAAGAAAACACACATAGTGGGAACGATTTCATGGAGAAGTGAATATTCTTTTTTGCGTTTTCTTGGTTTCTTCTGTATTTAGAGGATGTTGTTGTGGAACCATCCATTATCATTTTACACAAAAGGTATTCGCTTCTCTGTCCGTTACAAAAGTATTTATTAAATGATTTTACTGTCATCAGTTTGTTGCCATGCATACGAACACACAGGCTTTTCCATTCAGACCAGACCTTGTAATATAAATTATAACAAGCCTTTTAAAACAATGCAGCATTGTTAAAGCAGCCCAGGGTGATCATCATCCACAACTTGCTCAAGAATAGCTCACTTTCTCTGATGTTCATTGCTTTTCTGACCTTTCTTTGCTTTCAATGTTTTCCGCCAAAGTGTAGAGAAGATGCCATCAGTCCAGTCATTTGTTGCAACATCAAGACGGCCGAACATCTGAGGTGCAGTGATGGCTTTGGGGTTCATTCGCATCTCACGGTGGGGTTGACTGCATTCTGGAAGAAGAAGGCATTGATTGAGTATTCAATTTTTCCAGAAAAAAAAATTCTATGAGCAATCTATATATACTTGTTTGGTTAAGAATTCTTAAAAACTTATGTTGTATTGAGTTTCATAGTGTCTGACTTTTCATTCCTGGTGCTTTATTCAGTTATGTTCTTTGCTACTTTCTACTTACATACACAGCTATATGAGCCTTTTTCAGCTCCAACCACCTTCTTCTGCCTCTAACCTTTATTACATTTGGCCACAACCCATGCTGTCTGGAGGACAGTTTCATGGGAAATCAGTGTTTCTTCAATAATTTGCTAATTTATTCGGAAAAGTGCTCCACAAACCTAATAAATTATCTGAAGCACACTGCGTATATGTGATATTCAATATGAACGTTCTAACATTTAGTTGCAGGTCAAGTGAAGGAACCTATGATGAAAGGTTGGCCATCACAATACACATCAAGGTCAACCAGTTTGATGATCATGAGAAGTAAAGGTTGAAACTCTTTTTGTTGTCTCTCACAAACAACCCCACCAGAAGATTGAAGTAAGGTGACTCATGCAAAAAGTCTTACCTGTCATAGCTCTCATCAGTGTATGAATACAAGTTGTCTTTCCAGCTCCGCTTGGCCCCAATGCCATCATGCCATGTCGGACCCTCTGAGTCTCAAACAGCTGGATGACCTTTAGCTTCCAGGGAGGATGGATAATCAGACCAGCATCCTCGACCTGAGGAAGCAAAGATTTTCTTTTTAACATTGTTTACTATAGGAATCACGGCTATATTAGATTTTACTACGAATAATATGTTCTTGGCTATACTGTTAAGACCTTTGATAGTGTCCATTTTGGTGTGGGCCAAAAATTCAAGGGTGATAAAAAGGCAGGGCGTTTCAGACTAAACATTTTACCGGATGTTTTACTTGTATCATCTGAACAATGTTTTTCACAAATACTTAGGTCCTTAGATATTTAGACCTTTGACAAACAACAAATGGCACGATTTGCATCCTTCTGGTGCTATAGGGGGACTTAAGAGTGGCATGAAAAATACAACAGTATCACAAGCCATCAAGCCTTACCTGGTTTTGCTAATTTCACTGAATATTTGTTTACTTTCATAAATCTGTTGCTCATGCCTTCTCTTTTACTATTTCTGCATCCCACAATCTTCCTGGGATTTTCTGAGGCTCCACGTCTTTATTAAAACACTGAAAGCTTATTCAGCATTCCTTCATACCTGTATGTCTATGGCAGCCTCTAGCTCAGGGTAGCCGACTTTATCCAGTTGGATGCCTGGGAAGAGGTCCTCAATCAAGCTCAGGAAAAGCGGCTCATCCTCATCGATCTTATAAACACAACACATATAATTACACATTTATAAAAAAACAACAAAGCTAAGAATTGTGTTATTTCTTCAATATTCTCAGTACTGATTGTACCATTACTACAATTTGTCTCCTTAAATAAACTGAAGCAATAAGTTAAAAATCGATGGATCTTTTTTGATGAATTATCTATAGAAACATTTAAGTTATTCAAAAGGCTGACCAGTTTGGAAAGGTTCATGTCCCGAAGAACCCTCATGACGATGGTGGACTCTGTGTCACTGGGGTTGGCTCGCTTTGCTGCTCCCAGAGTTCGCAGAACTGACAAAATGTTCCGCAGGCCAAAGTCATAGTGCACCTGTGTTAAGATTGTATGACATTCCAATTAAAGCTAAAATTCTATCCCTTTTGTAGCATCAAATTGTCTGTTGTGATGATAGTCTATTCTCTGTATCCTGTATTATACATTGTGTTGCTAGGCACACAAAATTAGCAGGTGAACTAGGAGATTACACATGTTTGGTAGAAAACTTGTACTTGTTGTCCTTGTGGATTTTATATTTTTTTTACCTGTTTAGAAAGTTGCTCTTCACACAGCTTGTACAGAGTAAAGAACTTGCGAGCCAGCTCCATGTTGTCTATAAATCCGCAGCTTGCCAGTTTAACCCTTATAATGATCTGGCGGTCAGGAACCATCATGGCTACAGAGCGGAAGTTGATTTTGAGGTTTTCAGGAAGCTCCTGGCGGCCTGCATAACCTGGGTTCTGAAATATGAGGTGGGGTAGGGCTTGAATTTTGGGTGTGGATATTGATCACAGATAGTTTTTTTTAGATAAACCACAATGGACACAGCTTGGAAAGACTTTCATTACTGTTTTTGTGAAACACACACACACACACACACACACACACACACACACA